TTTAAGCCGTTGACGTTTTTTGACGTTTTTTGACCTTAATATACTATGAAACTTTTTGACGTTTTTATGCCTTACTATACTATGATGTTTTTTCATGTTTTTATGCCTTACTATACTATGACGTTTTTTCATGTTTTTAAGCCTTGCTATACTATGACGTTTTTTGACGTTTTTATGCCTTACTAAACTACAACGTTTTTTCATGTTTTTATGCCTTACTATACTATGACATTTTTTCACCTTAATATACTATGACGTTTTTTGACTTTTTTGTGCCTTACTATACTATGATGTTTTCTGACGTTTTTATGCCTTACTATACTATGACGTTTTTTGACATTTTTTGACCTTAATATACTATGATGTTTTTTCATGTTTTTATGCCTTACTATACTATGACGTTTTTTACCTTAACATACTTTGACGTTTTTTGATGTTTTTTGACCTCAATATACAATGACGTTTTTTGACGTTTTTTACCTTAATATACTATGACGTTTTTTGACATTTTTATGCATTACTATACTATGACGTTTTTTACCTTAATATACTATGATGTTTTTTGACGTTTTTATGCATTACNTAACGTTTTTTGACATTTTTATGCCTTACTATACTATGATTTTTTTATGGCTTACTATACTATGACATTTTTTGACGTTTTTATGCCATACTACATTGTGACATTTTTTGACATTTTTTATGACTTACTATACTATGACGTTTTTTGACATTTTTATGCCTTACTATACTATGACATTCTTTTGAGGATTTTTATGACTTAATATAATGTGCCGTTTTTTGACATATTTATGCCTTATTATACTATGATGTTTTTATGGCTTACTATACTATGAAGTTTTTTGACGTTTTTATGCCTTACTATACTCTGACGTTTTTTTAAATTTTTTTATGTCTTACTATACTATGACGTTTTTTGACGTTTTTATGCCTTACTATACCATGACGTTTTTTTACCTCAATATACTATGATGTTTTTTTATGTTTTTATGCCTTACTATACTATGACGTTTTTTGACTTTTTTGACCTTAATATACTACGATGTTTTTTCATGTTTTTATGCCTTACTATACTATGATGTTTTTTACCTTAATATACTTTGACGTTTTTTGACGTTTTTATGCCTTACTATACTATGACGTTTTTTGACCTTAATATACTACGATGTTTTTTCATGTTTTTATGCCCTACTATAGTATGACGGTTTTTCATGTTTTTAAGCCTTTCTATACTATGACGTTTTTTGACTTTTTTGACCTTAATATACTACGATGTTTTTTCATGTTTTTATGCCCTACTATAGTATGACGGTTTTTCATGTTTTTAAGCCTTTCTATACTATGACGTTTTTTGACTTTTTTGACCTTAATATACTACGATGTTTTTTCATGTTTTTATGCCCTACTATAGTATGACGGTTTTTCATGTTTTTAAGCCTTTCTATACTATGACGTTTTTTGACTTTTTTGACCTTAATATACTACGATGTTTTTTCATGTTTTTATGCCCTACTATAGTATGACGGTTTTTCATGTTTTTAAGCCTTTCTATACTATGACGTTTTTTGACTTTTTTGACCTTAATATACTATGACATTTTTTGACGCTTTTATGCCTTACTATACTATGACGTTTTTTCATGTTTTTATGCCCTACTATAGTATGACGTTTTTTCATGTTTTTAAGCCTTTCTATACTATGACGTTTTTTGACCTTAATATACTATGACATTTTTTGACGTTTTTATGCCTTACTATACTATGATGTTTTCTGATGTTTTTATGCCTTACTATACTATGACGTTTTTTGACGTTTTTGTGCCTTACTATACTATGACGTTTTTTGACATTTTTATGCCTTGCTATACTATGACGTTTTTTCATGTTTTTATGCCTTACTATACTATGACGTTTTTTGACGTTTCTATGCCTTGCTATACTATGACGTTTTTTACCTTAATATACTTTGACGTTTTTTGACGTTTTTTGACCTTAATATACTATGACGTTTTTATGCCTTAATATACTATGATGTTTTTTGACATTTTTTGACCTTAATATACTATGACGTTTTTTGATATCTTTTTACCTCAATATACTATGATGATTTTTCATGTTTTTATGCCTTGCTATACTTTACCGTTTTTTGACCTTAATATACTATGCCGTTTTTTGACGTTTTTATGCCTTACTATTCTATGACGTTTTTTGACGGTTTTATGCCTTACTATACTATGACATTTTTTGACCTTAATATACTATGCCGTTTTTTGACGTTTTTATGCCTTACTATTCTATGACGTTTTTTGACGGTTTTATGCCTTACTATACTATGACATTTTTTGACCTTAATATACTATGCCGTTTTTTGACGTTTTTATGCCTTACTATTCTATGACGTTTTTTGACGGTTTTATGCCTTACTATACTATGACATTTTTTGACCTTAATATACTATGCCGTTTTTTGACGTTTTTATGCCTTACTATTCTATGACGTTTTTTGACGGTTTTATGCCTTACTATACTATGATGTTTTTTGACGTTTTTGTACCTTACTATACTACTCCGTCTTTTCATGTTTTTATGCCTTACTATACTATGACATTTTTTGACGTTTTTGTGCCTTACTATACTATGACGTTTTTTGACATTTTTATGCATTACTATACTATGACGTTTTTTACCTTAATATACTATGACGTTTTTTGTCGTTTTTTGACGTTTTTATGCCTTACTATACTATGATGTTTTTTGACGTTTTTGTACCTTACTATACTACTCCGTATTTTCATGTTTTTATGCCTTACTAAACTATGACATTTTTTGACGTTTTTGTGCCTTACTATACTATGACGTTTTTTACCTTAATATACTATGACGTTTTTTTTTACCTTACTATACTATGACGTTTTTTGACGTTTTTATCCATTTCTATACTATGATGTTTTTTGACATTTTTGTGCCTTAATGTACTATCACGTTTTTAGACGTTTTTTTTACCTTAATATACTATGAGGTTTTTTTGACGTTTTTATACCTTACTATATACTATGACATTTTTTACCTTAGTATACTATGACGTTTTTTGACGTTTTTATGCCTTACTATACTATGACATTTTTATACCTTAATAAACTATGTTTTATGCCTTATCATACGATTAAGTTTTTTGACGTTTTTATCCCTTACGATACCATGACATTTTTCGACGTTTTAATGCCTAAGTATACTATGACGTTTTATGCCTTACTATATTATGATGTTTTTTGACGCTTTTATGCCTTAATATACTATGACTTATGATATATATGTCCCTATACCAAGAGTGATGTTACCATCTTGTCACCTATAAGAGGATATATTATTATGAAATATATACATCCTCCGGATACATGAATATATAACACACATGAATTAAAATGCAATAAAGCAAAGCAGTAAAATGCAACTTTATTAAAAGAGAAGATAAGCTATTCCTTTATTAGTCCCACAGTGGGCAAAATTACAGTATTACATGAGCAAAATGACAGCATAAAAAAGAAAAAACTGTGAAATGGCAGTACCAAGTAGTATAAAAAGATAATATAAATAATGAAGAATATAATAATATAATATGTACAATTAGACAATAAATATAACAAAACACAAGACAATAGCAGTGGCTAAGTAATATTGCACAGCTGGTGAGTTAAATTATTCCACATGGTGTTTGTTGTCTTTGGTATGTGTGGTTGTAGTTCACTGTGTGAACAACCAACACTTAGCCATCATCCTTCTGTCGCACACTACCTCCACTGGGTTGAGGGGGCATCCCAGGACAGAACAGGCCTTCCCGAACAGTCTGTTCAGTTTTTTTCCTGTCAGCAGTGGGGATGCTGCTGCCCTAGCAGACCACGCCGTAGAAAATGGCTTATGCCACCACAGTCATAAAAAGGTCCTCAGGAGCGCCCCCTGCCCTACAAAAGACCTGAGTCCCTGTAGCCGATACAGCCTGCTGTGTCCTTTTTTGTAGAGTGCACTAGTGCTGTGAGTCCAGTCCAGTTTATTGTTCAGGTGAACCCCCAGTTTTTTGTGAGTCCACTATCTCAATGTCCATTACCTGGAAACGAGAATAAAACAACATTGTTATTAAAATTCTATGTGTTTGTATATGATTTTCTTAATATTTCATATTAAATTTAAGCACAAGTCTATCTTTTATATTTACATATATGATATGAACATATACTGACAGGCTTTGGGATGGATATATATTTATGTAACATGTCTATGATATAAACTTACTAAATACATGTTTCTATTAGCTACACCTTTATGTCAATATATGATTTCTACTCAATTTCTAACAGGTGCCATATGTAATTTTTACATATATCGGCTATACTACAACCGTTTGGTTGACGGCATTAAAAAGCCAATCTTTGTTTTGGAGGAGTGGCAGGGTTGTTGCATCCCTACTAATGTTGAGACCAATCCCACGCCCTTGATTTATTGTCTTGAAAGGTCCAACCTGCAGCCTCAGGCCTGATGTATGTGTATTAAGGTTTGAAAAAAACACAGTTTAACTGTTGCACATATCATTGTTTATGAAGCGGGATTGTGTCACGTGATGTGCGATTCGGAGAGGAATGAGTTCATCTCTGCCTCGCTGCATGAGCTCCAGTTTGTTTATGACTGTACTGCTTTTATCAGCTGTCTCTGTCCTCCAGCACTATCACAAGCTGTGATTATAGATAGAATGTCATGTGAAGTGATATCTTCCTCTCACTTTGCTGCTCATGCTGTGAGACAGAAGGAAGATTGTATAATCCAATTAGTGTGGCTACTTTCTTATTTCTGGAAAAAAAAAAAAAAAAAAAACATCCTAAAGACAGTACACTGTCCTTATGTCAGATCTGCAAGAAATAAATAGTTACAGATTGAATCTCTGGAAACAATCTTCCCAACAAAACTAAAAGAGAAATAAAAAAGATTGTATTTCTGCAGGATACAACAACAGTATTACAGTTCGATGCTTTTATTTACCGTTTCTCACAGTTTGATGAATAAATAGATCTTTAAAGTTGGTGTCTGCAATGGAAGGAGGTTCTCCTCTGGTGCTGCTGTTTTTGTTTTGACTGCTTCATCTTCTGTTAAAAAAAGAGACAAGACAACAGGAACAGGCTAGTTAGTTAGTAGTCACTGTTACGAACAAAGTCAGACTGATCATTAAGGCTTTCATTTCAAGTTGTTGCCTACATCACTAATGATTTGCTAAATAATGTGAAGCAAACCACCTCCTAACTGAGAACCCATCTGTGTTTGATATGGACCTGCATTATGATTTGCATATGATACAACCATAGACTGTAAATAAAGATGGACGTAGCCTCCAGGACGTCACCCATTGGCTTCTTAAGAGCGGTTTTGAAGTTCAGAGTGAGCTGCTCTGCCGTTGCCATCTTGGCAGTGCCTGACTTGGCCTAGCTCCTGGCTAATCCAAAAATGGCGGGCATGTGTGGAGTTGAGACTTCAGTACATGCTGGTTTGTGGTGAGAAAACGTAAACATGTTTATTTGTGCTGCAAAGTTGGGTATTTTAACATGGGAGGCTATAGGGATTGACTCGCTTTTGGAGCCACAACCATTTGTCTAAATATTTCCTCCTGTATTCAGTAGTAAAGTTCAAAAGTAGCACTGAATGGAAATACTCAAGTGGAATACAATTACCTCAAAGTGTACATAAATGCACCACTGCAGTCAATGTATGTTCCGCCACTGAAGGTAAACAGTGCATATAAATGAAGTCACCATAGTACATTAGAGGCTGGATTGTCAGCTGAACTGATTACTGTCAAACTAAACAAGAGAAAGTGATTTTGTGTCCGTAAATAAAGTTTATCTTTTGTTTGTCAACATATAATGAATATATTCTGACATCCATTTCTGCCTCTGTGTCTCTGACAGAAAGAGGAAAAGGCAATGATCGCCAAAATGAACCGACAGAGGACCAACTCCGTCACCCACAACAGCGGCCACTGGACTGACCGTCCGTTCTACAACCATCTGGGCGGGAACCAGGTCTCCAAGGAGATGAAGAGGATGGTGAGGAAGATTTAAAAAGTGGCGATTGTTATACTTACTACCGTCTGCTTTGTAGCATTTCTGTTATGCCTGTCGGTGTTATTGGAGTGCCACAGCCAGGTGACTCTTTTGCCAATATCTCATCTCAGCTTTCATTTGGTGATGAACCTACCTCATTGTTAATACCCAGAATCCTTTGATCTGCAGTCCTGAGAAGCAGGAGCGATGGCTCTTAATGGCACACGCCGCCTCTGACACATCACCTTGTGCCCTGAGAGGCTCTCGGGAGCACTCAAGGAGACAACGGCAATGTGTAGGTGGCTGCAATGAAGCTGGTACCATGACAAATTGTCGGTGTACTTCTGCCAGTTGAGCAGCAAAAAAAAAAAAGAAAAGAAAAAAAAAAAAGAGAGCGATCCCCATCCAACAAACTTCACCTTCTCATGGGCTTAATTTGATGTGGAGGAAAAGCTTGAAATGCAGCAGCAGCAGAGTGATGTGACCACACCGAGAATCATTTTTATTTACATACTGTGGCTCTTCCTGCTGAGCCGACCCTGCAAACACTGACTCACTCAGTGAATGGATGCGCTCACATTTGAATCACACAAACAAATTGTTTTTCTTTATATCCATATCATCAATCCACCCACCTCTCTCAATGAATCTGTTATAGGGCAGACAGAGAGGAAGGCCAAGCCACATGCACTGTTCTGTATAACTTTTACATTGTTGTTCTACACACTCTATATCAAAAGTGGCACATTAAGTTTTCCCATCCTGTGGAGTGCTACACAGCTTGTGAAAACAAAATGTTTTCTGTGGCATCATCAGGGTTATCTCAGCTTGGACTTGGAGACTATGCATTTATAACAGAAAGCCTGTACTCCAGTCCTGGGTCATTGAGTTTGAAAGATGCAGACATAAACCAGAGAGGGACACTGCTGTCAAGCTGTCATACACACATGCTTCATTACCTTACCTAAAAACATTTTTTACTTAACTGTCTTTCCCTGCTTTTATTCTAAAGGTGAGGTGCATATTATGCAAGTGTTTTTCAAAACAGTTTCCTCTTAATCTTTTTTTTTAAACTCCACATGCTACAATGCTACAATGTCATTTGTCAGACGCTTTTATCCAAAGCGACGTACATATTAGATCACACACAATTACTCTTATATGATTATTAGTTTATATACATATATATATATATAGCATCATTAGCAACCAGCAGCTAATATGACTGAGCAAACAAAGAGAAGAGTGCCACCTACTGATATTCTGAAAATCAAAACAACAAACTGATTTAAGGCTGCTCATCTTCAAAAAAACAAAAAAACCCATCAAAAACAGGTGCATCTCTGTTGTTCTGCACGAGTACATTCAGTTACTGCTGTGTGTGTCACCCAAGTTTATGCCCTGACTCACAGAGTCCTTTCAGAGTTTGCAGAAACATTAGCGCTTTTGACAGCAACTTTATTTGCCACAGTTCAGTCTCTCTTCATCCTCAGCCTCTATTGTCCCCCCTCCCTGCTTATCACTCTCTATCTCCATACTGCTCATTAATCACCCGGGAAGCTGTGAAGATAAAGCAAGTTGTAGAGCGTGAAGAGTCAAAGACGCGTAGAGGGCATGAGGGAGAAATTTTATATGGAGGGGAGGGAGGGAGGATGGGAGGGGTGTTATGAATGGATGTTCTGTGTGTGTTTTTTTTTTGTCCATCCAGACACAGATGGAGCTGAGCACTGGACTGTGAATGACTTATGAGGCATCCAGGATTTGTACACATGTGCTTTCCTTTTCTACTGTTTGTTCATGAGAGGAAACAGTGGAACAAGCAGAAGTGTCAACATTTCAGCTTCTTCCTTTCTGTTTTTTTCAGGTTGCAGTCTTTGCTCAGCTCCTTCATTAACTGTTTCAACCACAAGAGGGAGCCAGAGAAACACATTAGTTTTCTTGTTGTAAAATGCCTAGAGGCAAAAAGAAATTTGAATTCCAAGTTAATCACCACAGAGAGAAACTCTTGAACCAACCACTGCATGATGCATGAGTGTATCACAGCAGATCGACATGATAATTTGTGCAGAAATTATATTGTTAAGAAGCAAATACCAATTTCTGAAAGAAGTAGAAGCAGAGCAATGCTTAATTATTTAACTTGAATCATTGGATCAGATTATCATCAGAACAATGGTGGAAGATGATGAACATGCACACAGCTCTCCTAACATGAAGTGTTTCTTATCTGTGCGATTATGAACCTTTTTGACTCTCATTGAAGCGCATTTTGGAAGAAGAAAAAGTGAAACACATCCCGTTTGTCTCTTTGTTTGTAACCTCCACCTTTCATTTCTCTCTTCTGTGACTTGTTTTTTTATCAGATCTCAGGAACCAGAAAACTTTTTACGTCTTATTATAATCACTTGTGAACCGCAGCCTTTGTTTCTTGCTGTGCTGAGCTGAGAACGGATGGGATATGAATAGAGCGCTGCCAATCTTCAGCCCAGTTTGACGCAAATATCTTTCATTTTTCAGCTGACGCCTACTTGATTTTTTTCCTGCTCACTTGCTTCCAGCCACGGGGAGCCTCTCCCTTCATACCTCCCGCTTCATTTCATTTTCTCTGGCTCGTACTAATTATCTATGTCAGCTAGTTAGTTCTTGGAGGCCTGATGTTATGTCATAAGGAAGAAGGGCTGTTATTTTCAAAATTATAATGCCAGTATTGAATGTGATAATTATAATTAAATTCAACAAGCAGATGTGCAGTCAGAGGGATGATTGGTGGGCTGAAGCTCCTTAACTCAGTTTTTAATAATAATAAAAAATATATACTTGGGAGATTAAAATGATTTTGCAGAAAGGTCAGTAGAAGTTATAGCGACATCAAAACTTTAAATGTTTTTTAAATTAAATAAGTGTATGTACAGTAGATCATTCATCTACTAGCTTAAAACTGTGCGGGCATCACTGTGAAAGTTAATGCTGAGCTGCCTTTCATCAGCTGAACTGATGAGCTGGTAGATGTCTGTGCTGCAGCTAACAATCATTTTCCATCTGCTCATTATTCATGATTTTGCAATTATCATTATCTTCTATAAAATATATGATTTTTTTTTTTCCAGAGTCAAAAGTGAACTTTCAAAGTGCTTATTTTAAACACAAAGATGTTTCATTTACAGCGATGTCGAGCAGAGAAACGCAGCAAGTCGGCTGTGCAAATGTTTGACATTTACTTAATCCATTTAAAAAATGATAATAATATCCTGTCAATTACCAGAGATCTCTAAATCTAAAAAAAACTTTTGTTGATGGGATGGGTGGTAAAGTTAAAAAAAAAAAAAAAAGAAAAAAAAGTGAGTCTGACTCAAAACAGTTAAAAAATAAAGTTCCCAGTTGTTGCTGTCAGACGGTTGGAAGCTGCGATTCCCAGCTAATTATTCATTAACTTGTATTTATCTCTCTTCTCTGTCTTGCAGGGTTTTGAAGACCCCAAGGACAAGTGAGTAGTGGCTGCCCTTCAACTGTTGTGTCTTCCCTCTCCTCTTTACACCTGTTGGACATGAATCTGCACTTGTTCTTACTTTCTCCTACACTAGGCAGAGTTTGTTTCTTTTTAACTTAGACTCAATGGGCCACTTTGCAATCAATAACAAACATGAGCCCTGAAAGGAATCATAATTGGCATAATGACTTTAAAGCTCTGTTTGAGGCAGAGAGGACATCAGTGCGGATGTGTTTATGCTGCTGTTTCCATTCATTCCTCCCCACAGTGGAAAACACATTAACATCAGCGGTGTTGAAGTATTACGAGAGACTTAATGTTGTAGCTGCTTATTGCTGATGTAAACACCCATTAAGACGCTTCGCAATTTGCATAAACAAAGCACAGATGGTAACATTAAAGCATTGTGCACCTGGATAGCAAGCACCTAGAGGATGCTACGAGGACTGAACATATATTAATATTTTAGTTTGAAGTTTTCAAACCTGTTGCTGCTTCAGGATGATACAAAAACAACAACATATACAATGATAAATAAAATGTTCTGTTGGGAGTTGGGTCTGCAGGGAGGTATGACCTCACCTCAATACGTCCAACACCTCAGGAAGATCCCGGGGGTAGACAAACGAACATAAGCAGCTCATGCAAAATTAACATTTTTAAAATAATTGCAAATGCCAAAAAAATACTCATTCTCTTCTTCTCTGTGCTGGTTCGTCTGTGCTCCTCTCTGGTTTTTAAAGTGGGGGAGGCTCAGCTGGAAAAAAAAAAAAAAGTGAAGATAGTGAGCGCAACATCTGAATACAAATCAGCCGGTTTTGGGGGGGTGTTAGTCAATCATTCAAGATGGATCAAACCAAACCCCCACAGACCCGGTGAAGCAGATTAACGTTAGCGAGTGTTTGTTTAATAAGAAAAATAAAAAAATGCCTGAGGATAAATCTCCCTGAACTTTAACTTTGATGGTTGTTTGTTTAGTTGTGAATATTTCATGTTGGAAAGAAACACTTAGACACCGAGTTTTCAGGAGCTTTAAAAAATAAAAATAAAAGAGTCATTTCGCAAACACTACTTCAAATCTGGCTCAATTAAGCTCCACTCAGCTTTCATTCATTGGTTCATTTTAACTTGAGATCACTTTGTTGATGCGGTTTCTTTGTCCGTCACTCCTTGTTGTGATTTCTGTTTCAGTAAGTGGACAAATGAAGTAATTTCACAGCTTTTGTGGCATTTGAAAACACAAACTTGCCTTTTTGGGAAGCTTAAAGTCATCTCATGTTACCATAGAAACTCAGAGATGAAGTTGATGATCGGCAGGCAGGTTTTAGAGCTGGTAACTGCTGCTGATTGGCAGTCAGCTCAACGAGACCAACCTTGTTTAGCAGTGTTTGTAACTGTGACAAGGTTGAGTTGAGACTTTAAGTCCTTTTTCAGAAGGTTTAAATCATTTTGTCTAAATTCAAAGAGGATGTTGTCGTTCTGCCGTCAGACAGAGATGTTCATAAAGTGGTGCAGCCAACTGTCACATCCAGACTATAAAAGTGTCAGTCAGTGATCAGGGAGCTGCAGTCATTAAAGTGAAGAAGCTGTCCTCCTCCTCCTCCTCCTCCTCCTCTCCTCCCAAACTGTTCTGTAGCTGCGAGTTTGCTCTGACATCACACTGAGCAGCAGCGTTCACACGGACAGCCGCCGCTCCGGGCTGCAGCACAGATCCTGCTTCTCATGTGCGCTGACAGCTTCTTGGATTTGAGAGGAAGTACATGCTGTATTTTTTTATCGTGCTCTACTAGAAAGCGTCACTACTGTAGACGCACTATCACAGCTTAGTGTGGAAATCTGTATGGAAGTCATCTCTGACCATCTCTGAATGTTTGACCGTGACCTCGACAGACAAGTCAGGAGTGAAAAATGATGCTTAAACTGATACAAATTCTTCTCTTTCACTATATTAAAATCCTAATTAGCAAGAATTAAGACTGAATTTAGGGGCGCGCCTGCAGCTTGGGGGTTAAGACGTCAACTGTGAACCCTGGTTTGAGTCTTATCATAAAAGCTTAAAAGATTTTCCTTCTTACCACAAGAAAACCTTATTAACTGTAAACTGCGGTGATCAGCGTCTTGTTGCACCAGGAAACAACAGTTTTTGTGTCAATTGAAACATGAAATCTAGATTAGTTTTCACCCAGGTTTTTTTTCTTTTTCCAATCGATTTAAAATCAATCTGCTCCTTCTAAGACATCTGGATTTTTTTGTTTTTAAGACTTATAAGATACTCTGCTTTGAATAATAATTGATGGCTGATGTGGGGTTTTTATTTTTCCACAATAAGTTCAATTGTAGTTCAAATCTACTGTAATTTTGCTCTCGTTGAAAAATCTAGACTCTATGAATATTCAAATATAGTTGATCTCAGAAGTTTGACTATTAGACACAAGATGTCTCCTACTCCAGAGAAGTCCATGCTCAGTATATGAGCACAAAGACCGATCCAACATTCATCAAGTTCTCATCATATCACATATATTTTCTCTATGTGCTGACTGTCACATCAATTTGACCACAGGCTCTCACACACACACACACACACACACACACACACACACACACACACACACACACACACACACACACACACACAATCACTGTGATCACAGTAGCATGATAATCTCATCAGCTGACTCGTTCTTGTCAACAAGGCAAATCAGTGTAAGTGACACTTTGCAGATTTAGTGTTTAGTCCAAGACGAACTGGCTCATCAGAGTCTTTTGGGATCGAGGGGAGTGATGGTCTTTTAGGTCAATTGCTCTTTTTCACTTTGCATATGATTACCTAAATAATACTGCACCTCAGGGGGCCTCAGGGTGCAGCAGGCTGTTATGGTGACTATACAACAAGTATGGATGATGTCCATTTAATCTATAGTTGTTCCTGCCTTGTGGAAGGGGAATTACCTGCTCAGTTGCAGGTGTTCAGTCCCTCAGCCAGTAAAATCTAAAGACCCTTGAGTTTTCTTGAGATGTAAATGTCACCCAGTCTCATCTTGTTTTATTCAGGCATTTCATTTTCAGAAACACGCAGGAAAACCTGAACCCAGAGGACGAGGTGGACGAGTTCCTGGGCCGCGCCATCGACGCTCGCAGCATCGACCGTCTGCGCTCCGAACACGTCAAGAAGTTCCTGCTCACCTTCAGAGAGCCTGACCTGGAGAAAAAGGTTAGGCTGCACACACACACACACACACACACACACACACACACACATTGTGAAACACACTGCCAATATTGCAGGAAATAATTAGCTGTGACCAGCAATCTTCCCTGTGCAAAAAGTCTGTCTAAGTGCCACAGTCTGAGTTTCACCTCCTTCCGGCACCAATATGCAGCTATTTTAAGGCTTATGTAGCAAGTCCAGGTGCCAGTATCAAGGGTCAGCGCTGATACTGTATAACAGTATCTGCAGTGTATATCTTAGCCAGTTAGTCTAAAGTTTGTCTTCCAGGAAAAGTCCTTGTTTTTTTTCCAACTGTAAAACGTTGTTAATCCATATGTCACTGTTCTTTAATAACCAAAGTATTTGTTTATGCCACAAAACAAAGTTCAGCTGATGTATTTTTATTGGATTGTTTTTATGTGCTTTATGTATCTGAAAAACCCAGCGTCATTCAGGGTTTAGTCTCAAGTCCAAGGCAAGTCTGAAATCCCCATTAGTCAAGAGTCTTTCAGGCCTTAATGCTGATCTTTAAGATGACAACATTTGAATGTTTTCCTTTCAGAGTTGTGCTAAACTTTTTGTTTTGTTTTATTTTTTTTATATAACTGAGACCAAGCCATTCGAAAAGCAGCTCTCTAATAATGAAATATTCAAGCCCTTGTCTTGTCAAATGGGATTTTACCAGCTCAAAACTCAGGACTTTAAAGTTAAGCCTCAAGTATACCACAGTATGAGGGGCCACTGCTCCCTGATTTTCAGAATAAAGATGAAACATTTTTAGAAAAAAATACTTATTTCAAGCAATAAAGCTATTGATTTAAAAAAAAAAGAAAAAAAAAAGGTTTTCTTTCAGAGGGACAGACTGTAAGAAAGAAAAAGTCTATTGTCAAATGTTGAAATGCTGTTTCTTTCTCCTCTTCTACCTCCCTCCTGCAGTACTCCAAACAGGTGGACTCGAGGTTCGGGGCTTACGTGGCCTGCGCCTCCCTCGTTTTTCTCTTCATCTGCTTCATCCAGATCGTCATTGTGCCACCGTGAGTGAACACTGATTCTAACTCTGACTCTTCACTGAAATATGCCGCCATCACCAGCTCACATTGTTGTGACTGAAAGAGTGAGATGACAGTAATTTGGCTCCTCACAGACACTTCAGTCATTTTACCAACAGCAGGACTAACAGCTGCTAAAATCATCCATGTGTCCCCTTCATGCTAACAAACCCCATCCACCACTCTGAGTGATGTGCAAATCTATGAGCAATATGATGCTGAAAATATTTTAAATTACAGAGACAATATTTCATTGATGTAGAAAGTAAGTGCAACAGACAAAACTGTTCACAGCAACAAAAACAACAACAACAAAAAATCACTGTACAGGAGATGAACAGGCTGCTGAACAGACTGCAGACAGGAAGTAGTGTCAACGATACAGATTTAATAAAGTTTAAATTTCAAAATGAACGGTTCTTATAAAAACAAACAAAAAAATTTTATATTCAAACTTATAATAAAATAATGTGTGAAAGTGTTAACACTGCCCGAGACATGTGAATGAAGACTGAGTGATACTCGATGAGTTCAAGTCGAATTCTGGTTTATTACAACTGCAATTTATTTATTTATTTATTTATTTCTCATTGTTTTGGCCATTGTCTCTGTTGGTTGTGGTAATTTTACTGACTGCAGTAATTGCTGACGTCTGGCAAACGCAGCTCCACCACTACAAAGAAGTCCTGTGGGGTAAGATGCACAAGTGTCCCAGGAATCTAAATCTATTGTAAGTCCTGCAAACTGTGCTTCGCTCCAGGGCCAGTTCAGTCAGACAGCCACTTCACAAGATGATTACGTACAAAACAGTTTAAAAATCTATATAAGGATGGGCAGGAGTTAAGCTGATAGTTCAAACTCACTTGCTTTTTTTTTTTTTTAGCAATGTCACTATGCACCTTTGTGAGTACAATCATTTTTATACCTGATCCAAATGATGGCTAAAAATATAAAAATAAGACCTAAATAGTAATAAACCAGAATTATCCTTTAAAAGAAAAGAAGTTAAGGTGATAGAAGATAAATTCAGAGTTGAACTTTTTTTGTCTTAACAACCTGGTAACCCAAAAGTTCTCCTTATTAATCTATATAATAAGCATAAATGTCCATTACAATGTCCAATCTAATGAGCATTAATAAATCCAGTAGTTACACAGCTAGGTCTTACTAGAAAGTGGTTCAGCTTTAGTTTGACACTCTCTTAAACACGTCAGCTGTGGCCGGGCTCTTGAAACGTTCAAACCCTTCTCATCACTGAAGTCTTCACAGTCTCTGTTGCAAGTTCTCCCGTCTTTAGCCGTGAGTCAACCAGAATTATAAAAGTGGAAAAAAAAAAGAAAATGTCGTTTTCATAACTCAGAAGCTGAATAAATGAGGAATAAAAGAGGATATCAAATCAAAATCAGTGTAACTGTATATGAGCAGCAGCCAGATTCAAAAAGCTCCGGCAGATTTTGTCTCTAGGCGATCCCTCCATTTTTTTTTTAATCTCCTCTGCACTCAGACTTTTCTCCCTGCCCATCTCTCAGTATTGATCTCCCTCAGCCTGCCTCTTTATTAACCTTTCTTTTCGATCCTTTCATCTCACCGCTCCCCCCTCGTCTTTTATCCCTGTTTTTACCTCTCGGTCCTCATCAGAGTCCCTCCTACGCCGTCTCCTCGCTGCCTCCTCTGTCTCATTGTTTAATCTGTTTTCCTTCACTGTCTTCACGCTCTCTCTTCCTGTCACGCCCACACAAATATAACACCGTCTTCCATATTATTTACCCTCAGACAAGGTATCTCTAAATCATAAAACGCATCCAGAAATAAACATATGTATATAATCACATCCTATCTCTTTGTTGTCTGCAGCTCCAGTCTGATGATCGGCTTCTTTATCACCTGTCTCATTATCCTGACAGCCGTCATGTTCGTCTCAGCTGTCTACTGCTGCTTTGGGGTGAGTTGTTTCGGCTTGTGATGAATGACTACGCCAAAAAAAAAAAAAAAAAAACGTGCCACCATGTTCAGATCTAAGACATTGGTCTTTTCTTGAGTGATAATTGATAGGAGGATTTTTTTTTAAAAGGATGCAGTTTTATAGATATTTATCTCAAATGCACAGCAACATGCAAAGAGAAGAACTGCCAGCTTTTCTCTTCCTTGCTTTTTCTCATTTGTTTATGTAGAAGTTCAGTATCAGACATCATAGAGATACATCTTTTATCAGGCTGCAGGTTTGATGATGTACTTGCTATTGATTTTAGATAATGTCAGTGAGTTATAAATGTTAGCTTCTTCTGCTCTTGAACTCATAACAAGTTGATTTTTAGAGAAGATTTTTTAGCTAAATTCCTTAAAGCAAAGTGCAGCTACTTATTATATAGAGATTAGTTGTGATTTAAAGGTCCCATATTGTATAAAGTGAGATTTCCATGTCTTTTTTGATTATAAAGCAGGTCTAGGTTCTATATTAATACTGTGAAAGTATCAAAGCCTCAGTCCACAGAGAAATGCCTGTATTCAGAAACTGAGCCTTAAAATGAGCCATTAGGACTTCTGTAACATTGTGATGTCACAACAAAGCTGTCACCGCTCTCAGCCACGCCCCCTACCTGGGCTATTCAGACCCATCATCCAACCGTGCAGGATTTGGTTTCTCTGAGTGTTTACCTGAAATCTGCTATATTTTTTATTCAAACACTCAGAACACAGTCCGCCAATCAGAAGAAGAGGCTCAGAGCCTCCTCTCTTCTGATTGGCTCACCGACCTGTTGTTACTGGAGCTCCAGAGAGAAGCCTGAGAGAGGAGATGTAAAACTACATTGAGTGTGTATATATATAAATATATATCTTCTTATGGGTATCAAAACTTTAAAACACTGGAAAAGTGAAAATACCTTTTTTGAAACAAGTTCTTTTTAGAGAAGAGTTTTCAACTAAATTCCTTAAAGCAAACTGTAGGTGTCACCATGCGACTCCATTTTCCCCAGCTACAACGATGACAGTATTATACAGACATTAGAACAGAGCTCTTCTTGGAAGTGGGATGTGTATATCACTGTGTCAAGTTTTTGTGAGTATCTATAGTATCATCTGAGATGACTGGTCCACCGTAGGCCTGTATCGAGGCTGTTCAGCTCACACCAGTTCTAACTTTAAAGGCGCCATCACATTTACACGAGTCTAGCAGAATCTTTGCTCCGTGTCCCACTTACTTCAATCAAAGGTTGTGCGACTGGCAAATTTAAGATTGTGTTTCCTATTTTTGGGACGACCTCTTTGTCACATCCGGAAGACTTTGCAGTTCAGAGCGTTCAACCTTGTACAACACGTTTGCTCTAAATCTCGTAAATGATCACAGTACCAGACTGCAAACTGCACTCAGACTGTTAACTGTCTGTGATCGCTCGGCTCAGTATTTATTTATTGTGCACATCAGAGTCGGGACGCCGCGTCCTTTTTCGGGGCCAATTTAGGCAGCACTGAAATACAATCCTTTTTATGTTTTCTGTGTCCTCCATCAAATGATTTAAGCAACAGGCATTTAGTAAAATATTACTTGAATTTTCTCTCTGTTCAGTCACCTTTTGTTGCTCCTTCCTCACTTTTTGTTCTGTTTTGTTTTGTTTTTTATGTTTCACAACTGCATCTGTATATTTGGTGCCTTATTAGCTAATGTAGCTAATCTTGAGATTAAAAATCAATCATTCAGCCAGTCAATCAGTCACTAAATAAACTGCAACTCTAACAGCTGCTGTGTCTAACATAATTGTTTTGTAGAACTGATACCAAAGAGCAGATCTCACCTCACAAACCTCAGGTCCCCCCCCCCCCCCCCCCCCCCCCCAACCCCCCGGCCCCCCCCCCCCCCCCCATCTACTCCCTCCTCTCAGTGCCTGCCGAGGGGCCTTGAGGTGCAGGAGAGATAAAAGTAGAGCTGCTATTAATGGTTTTCACTGATGAGTCATGGTTTTTTTACTGGGAAAAATAAGCCTTCCACTTGTACATGTACTGAACGTACAGACAGAACTTTGGTGTCAGTCCTCTCTCATCAGAAACTAGATGAGGAAAAATTGGTTCAGTTGCAGGTATCAGTTTACAGTCACATCTTATGTCAGCATGTATGTCATTGCCAACTGTCCCAGAATGTTAAATCACTGATTTATTTATTGAGGAGCTGCAATTAAAATGATCTGTAAGCTAACAGTGCTACAGTTGACAGTCTTTCCCTTGTTTAACCAGCTATTCCCAGTCCCTCTGCAGACGCTCTCTAAGAGGATAGTCCAGTCCAGGCTGAACAGCACCCTGGTGGGCGTCTTCACCATCATCATCGTCTTTCTTTCAGCTTTCATCAATATTGTAAGATGATACATTTTAACGCTGTATTCAACAACAATTCACATTCCTCAGATGACATTCAGTAAAGGAGTCCGACGTCCTCCCACCTGTCCTCACTCACTTTTTGTCACGGTTCAGTTCACCTGCAGCGGCCACGACCTGCAGAGCTGCATCACAGCAGAGCTCAACATCAGCCTGGACCGCGTTAACGCCTGCCACGCCCACCTCCTCAACTACAGCCTGGACACGCAGCACAGCCCCTGTGTAGACGACGCCCTCGTCTGCAGCTTTCCTGAGGTACAGGTGTGCCTTGTTCTCTGTGCGTGTGCGTGTGTGTGCTCTTTATTTGCATCGTATAATTTCTGACTCAAAGTACCTTGTAGTGTTTGTTGTGTAGTTTATTTCAGCAGGTGCCATGAGCATAATGCAGGTTAAGTGTAAGGAAGGAAATGAAGCAGAACAGATGCGGATTTACTGCATGTGGTGCAAACTGAGGCTTTTTAAAACTTCAACTCAGAATGAGCATAAATTTGTCTAAAGTAGTTTCTGAGTGAAAAATGTTTCAAACATTTTATATTTGTGACTTGATTATGTCAAACAAACATATCACAAATGTTTTGGCAGGTTTGTTCACCAAAAGACTTAAGTGCAGGTTTGGCACAGAAGCATAAAATGCCAGCAGAACAACACAAGACCTTTAAAATACATGACTTTCTGCTCTGTCCAGTGGTGTCTTGCATGTTATCAAGCTACAATGAGCTGCATATTCTACACATCAACCAGATTAACTCAGTGTTTTGTTTTTCTTAATGTCAGGCGATCAACAGCTCAAGTATATTTTGGCTTTTTGAACGATGCGTCTTTGAAATAAAAAGAACATTAATGTTCTGTTGTAGTAACACACTTGTGTTTGTATATTTTAAGAGTTCAATGTGATATAATTCTGAACGGTAGCAGAACAAGTGGGTGCTAAGTGAAGGGATTTAGCTTGCACAGTAATGTTTAAATTAACAGCTAAGTGGTCAGAATTGGGTTTATTGAGTGTTTTATAACACCTCTGGATGTGACTCATTCAGTCGGCGCTGCCTGTTACAGAATATAAACCTTCATATCCAGAGATATAAAAACAAATGTACTTTTCCTAACATCCTCTCTCTGCTAACGTTCTCCTCCCTCAGTACTTCTCGTCCTGCGTGCTGCTCAGCCTGCTGGCCTGCTCCGTCTTCCTGCAGGTCAGCAGCCTCGGGAAACTTTTCCTCATGCTCTTCATTGAGCTGCTCTACCTTCTCATCATGGAGGTGCCCAAAGTCAGCCTCTTCGACAACCAGGACCTGCTGGTCATGGCCAACGCCATCAACTTTGTGTGAGTCACTTCAGTACTGCTTTGTGTGTGTGTGTGCGTGTGTGTGTGTGTGTGTTGTTACGCCTGTGATCCTTGAATCTTTGACAACGTGCAGATGCTCTAACAGCTGATTGGCTCTTCTCTGTTCCTCCTCCCCCACAGCGAGCACATGAATGGAACAAGGTGAGCCTGATGGCGGCTTCTGTTTCCACAGAGACCCAAAGCATCACCTCCATCATCTGATTAAGCTAACAGTGTCATTATCACTGTGCTGGCACGAATGTAACTATAATGACCTGCTGGCAACAGATGCTAACGCTAATGAGCCAAGATGTAGAGGGCAGCTTGTTTTTGTGTCACAGTATTCCAGAGTCCTCCTTTACACCCATATAATATAACTTTATTTAACACCTGTATGTTAGAGGAGAACTATTGATTGAATTAGTTCAGCACTCGGCATAAAACATGTGAAAACCTAGTGTGTGTGTGTGTGTGTGTGTGTGTGTGTGTGTGTGTGTGTGTGTGTGTGTGCTGACCTCCAGCTGTGTGATGGACTCCAAGGTCCCTCTGAAGATCATGACCCCGGTGGTCATCACCGTCTTCGTTCTCGCCCTCTACCTTCACGCCCAGCAGGTGGAGTCCACGGCCAGGCTGGACTTCCTCTGGAAGCTGCAGGTTGGTGTCTGTGTCGTGGGGACTCATCTCCATCAAGAAGGTCTCCTCAATGCGAAACGTAAAGTTTTAGGGTTAAGACTTGGGTTATGGTTATTGTTCAGGTTTGGGTAATTAATGTAAAGCCCCTTTTACACTGGTCAAAAAATTATGCAATGGATTTTCCTGTTTCTGTGGACATTTTGTTGCGACTCTTCTGTTCTCCTTTCAGGCCTACAGGGGGGGAGTGTTGGATACTCAAATGAGTAGTGAAGTATTCGTTTCATAATAAAATGCCTCAAGGGATGCCCCAGGGTTCTTTGACATCTCATGGAGGTCCTGGGGCAGGCTGTGCTGCCTGTGGGTGGTAATCCAGGCAAGGGGATAAACGGGTTATTTAAAAAACAAGACTAAGAGTCTCCAGCCATGCTAGCAGCTCTGGGAAAAGGCAGATAAAAACTTTAAGTAAAAACTGGCCAAAGGGCAGTGGAGTAAAGGTCAATAGAAATAAGAATATCTGCTGGAGTAATTGTGTACCATCACTGACAGAGAATCCCGTGATTATATTCTGTGTGAACCTTCATATGTCTATCGGCAGTTTTTTTACTCCATTGATTCAGTCTTCATTAACTCTTCAATCCCCGTCTGGAACTCTTCACTAGGCCACAGAGGAGAAGGAGGAGATGGAGGAGCTGCAGGCATACAACCGCCGTCTGCTCCACAACATCCTACCCAAAGACGTGGCCGCCCACTTCCTGCAGCGCGAGAGGCGCAACGACGAGCTCTACTACCAGTCGTGCGAGTGCGTCGCTGTCATGTTCGCCTCCATCAGCAACTTCTCCGAGTTCTACGTGGAGCTGGAGGCCAACAACGAGGGAGTGGAGTGTCTGCGGCTGCTCAACGAGATCATCGCCGACTTTGATGAGGTGAGATGGGAACGAAGCCAGCTGGAGGTTGCGTCAGTGGCGCTTTAAGAGACGGTTGTTTCACTGTAAAATGAGATTTTACTTCATGACTTCAGACTTTAAGATAGTTACACAATTCCCACCCACATTATACACAGTGTGTAATACTGTATGAACGCATATCCTACAGTACAAGTTATAGAAGTCAGTTCGGTTTGGTCTCCTCCAACTCATAAGAAAAATACTTGGATCTTTAACCTGCTAGAAGATGTAACATTAGACAGAGGGATTTGAATTTAAAATATTGATAAGATAAGACTATTTAAATGTTTCTGCACAATGCTCTTTGCTACTCAAACTACAAAACAACAAAAATCAATACATCAGTTAGACCTAGAGCTCAGAGAATGAGGTTATTTTATCAACTTACAATTGGATCCAATGAACCTGAACCCAAACCCTGCTCAATATGGAAGTTTATAGATTAAACCCTCCCTCTTCCCTCTCTCCCTCCACCATCAGATCATTAGCGAAGATCAGTTCCGTCAACTGGAGAAGATCAAGACCATCGGCTCCACCTACATGGCGGCCTCAGGCCTCAACGACTCCACGTACGACAAGGCCGGGCGCTCGCACATCCGCGCTCTAGCCGACTACGCCATGAGGATGATGGACCAGATGAAATACATCAACGAGCACTCCTTTAACAACTTCAAAATGAAGATAGGTGAGCTGCGGAAGAGAAAGCAGGGCGTTGCTATTCTTCTTGTAGATTTAATGGGGATGCAGATGGTGTGATTAACGCTCAGTTGCCAAGTTAGAAGTGGAGAGTTAATTTCCTAACTGATATGTAATAAATCTACTTTGAGAAAGAAAAATAAGGTTTGTAAAAGAAAAAAGAATAAGTTGTCTACATCCTGTGATATCAGTATTTTTTTATCTTTCCATTTTTGTCCAGCTAGTTTGGTAGTAATGAAGTACTCTGCGATGTCTTATGTTTGTTTTGTTCCTAAGGTCTTAACATGGGCCCTGTGGTTGCCGGGGTGATCGGGGCCAGGAAGCCTCAGTATGACATCTGGGGTAACACAGTGAACGTGGCGAGTCGCATGGACAGCACAGGTGTACCGGAGAGGATCCAGGTGACATGACGTGTGACACTGCACTGCACAGATATTCACCTTAACATGTCATTTTACTTAGTAAGAGGCTGACAGTTTTGTACAGTAATCCTAAGGCTGCATCACTTTGGTTAAAACAAACAAGTCCAGTCAACAAATAATACTAAAAAACACAGATGGAAAAATCAACTTTTATTTTGAATTTAAATATTAATTTGTCTTAGCTTCCCTTCTCTGAAACCACAGTGTGTCAAAACACATCACAAACAAGTGGAGCAATTGCAATTTAACTGACAGAATATTCATTTATATTCATATTCATTCATTTTAGGTAAAAAAGCTAAAATAAAATATACAGTATTTGCAGGGCTCAGGATAGCTGTCAGCTGCAATCTACTTTAGTCAGAAACTAGGAATTCAATGTGAATAAACTCTGCAAAATTGCATTTCACACATAGCTGCTGGCTGGATTTAGAATAAGTCTACTCAGGTTAATGAAAAATGTTAATTATAAATGGCCATATTGGTTTGGCTCAATCAGATGTGAAATCATTAAAGCTTAATAACTCAAAGCTACTTTGAACACAGATGGAAACCTTTAATTTGATCTCATTCGCCTCCACTGGACCTCCTGAAAAACCATTAACCAAGGAGCAAATATGAACCACTGCTTCCTAATGAACGTGAATAAAGTGACAAAGCAGCCGCACGACGACGCCATCAGCACCTGAGTGTAGCTTTTCCAATCTATTTTTTTTTTTTATGTAGATGACAAAATTTAGAACAGACAATTTAAGGTGTCTTGTTTCCGCCTATTATTCAATAAGACGTATTAAAGTCGGTCATATTATATTTTAATTTTCAATATGCACCATAAATTTGAGATTTTATTTTAGGAAAAAGATATCACAAGCCAAGCTTTCCTTCTATAGGCTAAATGTACCCCTCAATTTTTTGACCAATCAGAGGCAGTCGCTTGCCACAAAAATATATAGATATATAGATATAAAATGTCATCGGTTCATTTTATCCATATAGACATTTGAGTTAAATTGTGTCATAATGAGTTTATGAATTTTAGTGATTTAAATGCTGATAAAGCAAAGGTTTTGTGTAACCTTAGCCGTCTAAATAAAGTCTGCCTGCCAAATAAATGAAGCCTGACATCTAGACATGGCTCGACCTGTAAATGACAGTACCAGCGCTGACTGTGAGTCATTAGGTGCCAAACGAGGACAAAATAATGAATACCTAGAAAACTCATCCGCTCACTGTTCCCTCCCCCTCTTGCCCTCAGGTGACCGCAGACCTGTACCAGGTGCTGAGCTCCTACAACTACACACTGGAGTACAGGGGCGTAGTCACAGTGAAGGGCAAAGGAGAGATGATGACCTATTTCCTCACCAGTGGACCCTCCAACAGTTAACCTGCGCTAAATGACAAACAACACGCAGGGGTGTTAACTCCACCTCTGTCGCAAGGAGCCGCCTCATGGACCTCTGACAGCTTACAGTGGACTGAGACCAGCTGAAGCGTCTCTTCTCACCGCGCAGGACCCTTCTCGAACCCAGAGGCCACAACGAGGACGGATGAGAAAAGTCATCCCAAAGCTCAGCTTGCGGGGGGAGACTGAGTGGGAGAGGCATAGCTAGCCTGACTCTGACATTGAGACCAAAGACGTCCAATCAGAGCGTAAAAAACAAGATTTCGCCAGCTTTGAGAGGTTCCTACAGGAAAAAATGTTCTCTGAGAAATTTTATTTGCTTCAATCTGCCAGATTTTTCGGAGGGGTTCGGACAAACCTGCGGGAAGACGTGTCACTTCCTCTTTCTCTCTGCCTTTCTCCTGCTGAAGTATATATGTACATGTAAAACACAGACAAGTTTTATGTGTATGTATATGATTTTATGTACTGTATGTGAAACACATTTTGTCCATGTTGTCGTGATACAGGTACAAATCTCTCAAGTGCGGACACTCAGCCAGCACCACAGCACTACCTGTCCTTGTATCAATATCTGATCGTGTCAGCAATCAACAGATTAATGGGGGAGTTGCACTAAGTTGTGTGATATCGGAGAAGAGTGAGTCTTGCAGGTGAGGAGGTCCCTCAGAGACGGTTTGGACTGTTTTTTGTTTGTTTTGTTTTTTTGTAAGAACAGAAAGAAAACGCTCAACAGTGTTTACAGAAAGCTTCCCGTCAGACGTATAAAATCACAAACTCACTACAGTATCAACAGCATATAAACACACCTTAAACACTAAGAGGATGTCAATGAAGAGCTTTTTCTAATCTTCGACATTTTGTATTTTGACTGCAGAACACCAAACCCTATCAGATATTTTAAGATTCTATATTTTGTACATTAATATATTAGAGAGCTATCTATAAACACCAATGTGTATTCAGATGTACATACTCTATCACTCTCGTGTTGGGATTTCAGAAATCCTCACTAGTGTTGCCTGGTCTTAAAGTGGAGCCACAGCTAATGTACCATTAACTTCAGCAGATTGATGCACCTGAATGCCCTTTTTTTTTTTTTTGCTCTTTTCACCGAATTGAGCATTTTTCGATCTGCAGGAAGTCAATCCTTCGGTGATTAGATGGCGTTTCTGATGATTTCCCTTCAGTAGTGTGTTTAAATCTCACGGCGAGAAGGAAGCACCAAGCCGAGCGAGTACGCACTTTGAATGACAAGACTAGAGGACGGGAATGCATCGGTCTCGGTGCTCAAAAGCCATTTTGCACTCCAGTGCATTCAGCCGTCCGCCCCTTCCTGCACTGCTCCACACCTCCCTCTTGCTTGCTCAATCAGATGGTACGACCCAATGAATGTCCAATGATCTCCGATGAGGCCTTTAATATGAACTCTATACTAATGACGGTGATGATTCTCATCCTGTGGACAGGGAAAGACAAGCCCATATGGAAATGTGCCCTTTTATCTGCTGTTTTTTTTTTTTTTTCTTATCAGAAAAGTTTTCTTCAGTATTACAACATTACTCAGCATGTCTTCCGACAAACTGTCTTTAACCTGGCCGTTTCATAGATTTTAGTGATTTTTAGTGATGTTATTACCAATCACTACAGCTGGTTCTGTTTGTCTTGGCTGAGTCAGAGTACAGTGATCAGTGAATGTCTGGGCAGAGTGTCAAGTTTTTATATAGAGGAACAAAGCAAATTTGAGACGGAAGCTTAAAGGATAAGGCAAGCATTATTCAGTATTTTGTTTATTATCAACAAATCTCATGAAAAAAACCAAAATCAACATTGTGTTGTTATTTGACTTCTTGCTTTGTCTCTACACACACTGCACCCACAGCCCTTGCCTGTTTGTTAAATCATATACTGTTATAAAGAAACATTACTCAAACACGAGTAAAACACATAATTTATTGAAACTATTTGTGTATTTAATACACATTTAGTGTTTTACACTAGTGGGTATTTACGCCACCAGGTCGTTTTATGTGGGATTGCTTTAAATGGAATTCAGAGTATGGAGTCTTGACTGTGCCACTGGAATACTCGAAGACTTTTAAAAAATAAAATCTATTAATAAACTGCCCCAATGTGGTGGCAGACATCTGGCCAATCAGAGGTCCTGCTGATGCCCTGCAGGTTGGAGTTAAATTTGACTTTAGGTGGTGCACAAATGTATTGTTAGATGGAATAAATGCAATACAAAATGTTAAATTTAAGAGCATTTTAAAGACTTATTTCAAGTTCCATTCAGAAATTTAATTATTAATCATTTTTCTTTATTAGAAATTGGTTAAATGTTAAATAGATTGTAAATTAGCAAATTAAAAACTTTATTTTTTTACTTTGAGTTTTATAATGCATGATTTGAAGGCAAATACAACTAAACAAGTTACAATAGCTTTGCTAACCCTTTTAAATTGATCAATTATTTTTATGTTTTTTAAAAAGGCTCTATAAGAGTTTCTGTTTATGTTAATGGAGAAACGTACAATAGTATGACTAACTGATGTGTTTTTAATAGTTTTGGGGAAACAGTGGAGCTATAGAGTACAGAGGAATAAGATATATTAGGGTTTTACTACATAGGCAATACTTAGAAGGTTCAGTTCATTGATTTTGGTCTTTTCATGGGATTTGTTGAGTTAAAAAAAAAAAAAAAAAAAAGTAAATTGGCACCAGCTTTATCCTTTAAATGTTGGTGATTTTGCTTTTAATTTCCTGTTTGAGAATAACAAGAGAAACTTGGCACTTGGAACGTTTGCTTTGAGCCTGTACAGTGGAAAGCCTGCGCTGGTCTACTCTGGTGGTTTCTGTGTTGTTAATGTACTGTACTGCTGCAACCATTATCACACACCACTAGTAAAAAATTTAAGTGTCATCCCATTTGACACCCATGTGAGCCCCTTTTTCTACTGTCTATTGTGCAGGAGAGTGTGCCATTAGGAAACACATGGGGGTGAGAGAGAAGCATAGATCTGAGATGAGGGGTGTAGCTATAAGGTGTCTGAGTGGATGAGTTCTTATGTTTAAAGAGCAGGAGAAGCTCACCTTTTCATTTCTACAGCTGAGGATCCTCATGATGACTCTGACAAGATGACAAGGTGAGGCAGCGTCTGTGACAAAAACAGCTTCAGAGACAAAACCGTGGGTTGTTTTTGTTGTCATGCCAAACACTATGCTTTTTTTTTTTTCTTTTTTTTTTTTTTTTTTACAGACAAATAAACTGCTGAGATGTTTCACAGGTAACACATGACTGCATGTTGATTCTTTTCTGCATAATCTGGCTGTGTTGTCAGCTGACTAATTGATTTAGATGAATGCCTGCTTACCTTGTGTAAGCTGTTGGCTCAGCACACTTGTATGACACCAAAGAAAAGGTTTACACAGAAGAGCTTGTCTTTTATCCATTACAAGACTTAAGAAATTATTTGTATGGCCAAAGGTATATGGACATTAACGGGGCCTTAGCTCCAATTCAGGGAAATTGTAATGCTGCAGCATACAATTATATTTTTGCTCATCAATCATATATGAGTAAGTTTTCTAAAAACCCATAAGCATGACATGACGTTCTCATTTGTTCATGTAGCCCACCAACAGATGGCAGCAGCACTTCATCACTTGGTTTATACATGAGGTCCTTTGTCTTCTTTTCATCAAGATAATTGTTTATACATGATGGAAGAGAAGGAAGCAAAATGCTAATCTGCTGATTAGCACTCCTAGTGTTGCTTCATCCATTACAGCTTTAATATCTATATTTATATAGAAGTCAAATCACTTGCCATTACATTGAATAAGAATGAATTAGTGTCTTAGTTAATAGCTAATTTAATAACTCTTGATATGCATTTAAGTAGCAGGGTTGGACTGCAATTTAAATCTTACTCTCTCCATTTAAATTGAATTGAATTTGAAGAATGGTCAGTAATGGAATAAAAGGCTACTGTACTGCAGCCAGTGACCACAATAGTATTTACTTGGCTTTTCTCGCAGAAATTCGAGGACATGTCGATGCAAACGAAATCCTCAGAGCCTCACACTTACTGATTTTGACCTTTCTGCAAAGCCAACCTGTGAGCACCTGACTGTGCGAGCGAGCTTCGCCACAGAAACATTATCACCACTGACATTCAACTGAATCATGTTGAATTAAAATTCACCTTCAAGTACAGTAATCTACAGTGTACAGCTGCAGCAGCCATTTGTCATTAAAATCCACATACTTCCTGCTCGGGAAAGAATATATCCCTGTTCCATTAATTACATCTGGAGGAAATTGCTGTTCCTTATAATGAGGAACCCACAAATAACATCAATTATAATCATCATAATCATAATACCTCTTGTGCTATTACTGGTGAAATAATGAAAAAAACAGAGCTGCCTGAAAAGTATTTCAGCTGCCTCTGAATCATGAAGCAATCTCTTGTCTGTTGCTGCAGCTTGCAGCAGAAACAATACATTCAGTTTTTGTTGAAGAATGGTTATCATTGTAATGGTAATGTCTTAGATTTTTTTTAATGTTCAATGTTCCAGAGCTGATCCCAGACACAATGAGCCCTAATACAAGAGAAGATATGTTTCAAGTGGGGTGAAGAGGACCAGATCACATCATTATAAAGAAATGTGCCTCCATGTGCAACAGAAAATGAACCAAATTAAAGCACTTCTGGTCTCAGATATAGTTTAAATGCAGCGTTCCAACACATTTTCCCAGATCTTCATTTCCTGAATTTACACTGTTCATATTAGTCTGTGACCTAATCATGACTGGGGACACTCTAGTGTAAAATAAAACGAATTAAAATTTATGCAACACGTGTAACAAATTCGCAGCAGTTCATTTCCGTGTTTTAAAGACCTGGAAATGACCACATTCATTTTCCATACTTGGATAAACCAGCATAAATACCTTGAATTGTACTTTTCCTACTTTACACAACACACATGCTCTACACATCTATTATAAATGCTGTGGAAAAGGAGAATGCAAACAAATGCAAACAATCTGAGCCAGTGAAACACAATTCAGATCCAACTGAGTCCAAGCCATGTTGTGAAAAGAACTATTAGGTCATGTAGGTGTGGTACTGCTGTTGGGAAAGCTGGGAACATTCAGAGAGCAATGATGAATCACACAAGGCCGTAGCGCTGCAGCGTTCCCCCAACAGATCAGATGTGCAGATGCCAGCTGGACATCGACTGTATTTGCGTGGCTATACTCCTTTTCATTTTCACTTTTCACTCCATACAGTGAGAGACAGATTATTTAAAAAAAAAAAAGAAAAAAAGAAAGACGTCATGACAATCTTGGCACAACTGTTGAGCTACTCATGAACAATAAAGGCATGACTCAATTCTCTACCCTTCGCCATTTGTTTGCTATTGTTTATTGGGATGATGCAGGAAAAGCCAGGAAAGCTTCCCATAATTTCCCGGACAAATCTCACACTGCTTAAAAACGATGAATGTGGCATCCCCTGATTGTAATTACGTTAGATGTGAACGCTGTACTAATATCCATTACACAGGCAGAGGGTGAGAGACTGAGTTTTTGTCTTCCAAAGTGGCAGACGCAACCATGTCTCGGGGACTCGGTGGGAGGAAAAGCACGCCAGAGGCTGCTCAGATGATATGGGCTGCCTCTGGCCCCGACAACACAGCTAGTATCTTTACTGCTGCCAACACAGACTTGTTTATTAACATAGTCACTTGACACTTCCACATGCTTGAGGCTGTGTGGGCGAGGAAGTAGGGTATGAATGCTAACACGCTGTTTGTGTCTACTGGAGCAGGAGTTACTTTGTGACAAGTAGATACAAGTCTGCGTTAAAAAAGAAAAATGGAGCAACCATAAAACAACAAATAACACTGATAAAATCTGTAAAAATCATCACTGATCACATGCCAATGAACAATCTCTCAGTAAATAAATAGCAAAAATTAACAGTCAACAAAAATAAGATATGATAAGTGACTCCTGAATACAGAATACACCAAAACAGAAATGAGAGCCACATATATGAGGCAGCATTGCATAGTTTTAAACCAAGACCTAAACCAGAGTCCTGCACCAAGTCAGGTATCCAAGGGTGCATGTGCAAAAAGTGCATGTATATGAACTGAACTGAGGAATAATTAGATGCAAGCAGGACATGGGTGATATAAACACAAAATTGGACAAGTTTAGACAAATTTGGATTAAGGTCCAATCCTGCTGCCTTTCTATGTTCAAATTGTATTATCTTTGATCAGTTTATTTTCTGCTGTATGCTCTTCTGTTCAGCCCAGCCTTCAGCCAAGACCACATGGTTGGTTGGGTATTAAACCAAATCAATTTTTGGGTGCAAACAGAAATATGTCTGTAACTCAAGAATTGAAGAATGTCAAATACTGAGATTCAAATTCTTAAAGGCAACATACACTGCATCTGATGAGAATCAAAACCCCTGCACCTGTGCTAGTTATGAGTGTCACGTGATGTGATGCTGCATGACATGGATTTAAATAATTATTTCACTCTTACTTTGCTTAATATCTTAAATAACAACAAGGTTTCAGATTCCTCAAAGTAAGATATGAAAGAAAGTATAATCTTGGTGGTGGTATTTGAACAGAGTCACTATGGCCTCTGTATTTGGTTTTAAGTTAGGGTTGCAGGTTACACCTGACCTGTAGCTCCTGAGTCTTAATTTTGCAGGAGAGTACAGATCGGCAAAACTAGACATCCTGTATGCAGGACTCTGACCTTAACTATGGCTGCAATGAAATGAAGTAAAAGTAAATGTCTTTATGAGACAATGGTGGGGAACAGACAACTTCCAAAAACAATCCAGTTAGATCCACAGATGATTCAGGCTGCGGTGGAGTATCACACTCTGTCCATTGGTGCTGGGATTGAGTGAGAACAGGACCACTGTGGTGCTGCAAGATTTCTTATCTTCCTGAAGTGATTGTTTTTTGTTTCCACTTTGTCCCCAGACTGGCCAGAGCTGTCTCCGCTGCATCTCCAGAGCAGGTGAGACATCTGACAGACGGTCCGTTTGTCCTTTGGGTGTAAAGTTTTTGTCAGACATTATAGTCTGGTGCTTTGCCAAGCGGTTGCCTCAGTCTTATCTGCAGGGTCATGAAGGCCCCCACCGCCACATGGAAGAGGATCTGCCACATGTTCCTCAGTTCATACAGATACATGTTGGACAGACAGATGAGTGCAAATGCTAGAAAGGACTTACTGTTCCTCCAGACAGAGAAGTAGGCAAACAGGTAGCACTGAAAGGAGAATGGCAGAGAGGAGGAATTTGAATTCTGCACACTTTGTGTGACTGACATTGACTAGTAGCATGTCCTTCATTGAACAATAAGTAGGTTCTGTACATAAGAAATACTGTCTGATAATTTTATTCACCTCACTAATCTACTAGTTTTCAGTAGATCTGTGGCTTCTGGTACTAAATTCTGGAAAAATTCAATTTAGTATCAAGAGCTGCACAAATTGAGCTGATGAAAGAGAAGGTAGTGGGTGAAAGGCACTGAGCTTTTGCTAATGTTGGTTTAGCTGACAAGCTGCTGAGTTGTAAAGTACAGGGCCATTAGTCAGCCAGTCAGCCGGTGATGGGCTGCTCTTACCGCAGACTATCACTTACCTGATAAAGACAGGCTGCTGTGCCGAGGAAGAAGGCAATCACATAATTAAAGTCTTCATCGTCATTCTGCAGACAGAAGAAAAGGCATACAGAAAAAAAGCTTATTTGTCAAGGCATCATGAAACCAATCTGTCAATGAACTTCACATATTTTCCATGTTGCCTCATTTGGTTTAAAAGAATATAATGCAACATACAGAGTGTCAAGGAACAGAATGGATGGCATATGGCAGACTGATGCTCTTATGCTCTCCAAGTTGAAATAATTCCACAAAGTATACTGAAAGGAAAATTCAGATTTAAGCCAATATGGGTCTTATTTAAGTAATTCTTTCCATTTGTTTCATAGGTTGTATGATCCATGTGATGAAAGTATGATGATGCAGGAAACCTGAATAATCAGAAAACGAGCCTAAGTCTAATTATCAAAGACACTTTATTTGAAAGAAAAGCTCAAAGTGAGCGCACACACAATGTCAGCACTGATCGCTCACTGCCCGAGACAGACAAGTACAGTGAGTACATGACAACAGATAGAGAGAGAGAAGCCTTCATTTTCTCTGCTTGTTTTATTTTCTAGCAATGTTGCCTCAGCCCCGATTCTCACCTGTAGTATGCTCTCTATAGCGTGGACTCCTCGCAGCAGGTTCAGGCCTCCACAGAGGACACTAAGCACACAAGACACAATGCCCGGGAGAGTCACTGGCTCCAACATCTGTGTGGGAGCTGGAAGAGACAAAAAGGGCTTTTTATTACAGACAAAATCTGCCATGACAAATTCATTACAAAAACATTAAGAAGAAAATCTGCTTTCCAAAGTAGATAACAAAACATATATATTTTAGGAAATGTAATTATTTACAAAAAAAAAAAACACTATATGCAGGATAAAAGGATAAATCCTTGAATAGAATTGACAGGCCAAGCATACACCGTTTTTAAATCTTCTGACATCCACAACTTTCTGGCACAGTTAAAGGAGTGATCCATAACTATTATCAGATTAGCATACTTCATCCCCCTAGAAAAATGATTTATGTTCTCAGAAAATGGAGCCTGGCAAGGCAACCAACAGAGAGTGAACAAAGCGTGGAGAGCTGTTCTGAAGAGGATGTCAGGGGAAGCACAACAGTTCTAAGTGACCCGAGGTGGGTCAGCTGAGGTGTGACGGGTTGTTTTCTGGAGCAACTGAGGGGTCGGGGGTCTGAGCCACAGACCAACAGTGGAACTGTAGACTGATGCACGGGATGTCAGACCACCAGACATGCAGTACATTTCAGGTTCTCTGTTTTTTTTTACCTACAGATTTTTACTGAAAACACCCAGAGTTTATAAAAGAAATGGTTTTAACCTGATATTGACAGAGTTATTATGTTGCCATGCTTCCAAAAGTTTCCTGCCACAAGAATATACTGTTCACTGCAGTTTAAAGTAAACAATGTCCTCTCACAGCAAGGGTAACTCAAGAGAATAGAGAACAGTAATTGAAAGTGAAGGCAAAGAATTAGTGAGAGAAAATGCCAAATTAGCTTTTAATTATCCTTGAAAAGTAATTATTAAAACAATAAATGTTAAACCTACAATGTGTTTGTGCTGCAAATGTTATTTCTGAAGTTAATTTCTAAATTATTGATTTTAATAAGGTTTTCACCAGCATTACGCACATGAATTTAAAATTACATTTTTTGGTCTTAAGGGAAAATGTGGTGAGGTAAGAGAGATAACTCTCTACAGAAAGATAGATTTTCATTTGATACTGTGAGTGATCCATAAACAAATTCCAATAATTCAAATGTAATTAAAAAGATGGAAGGTATTTTGCTAGTGTACTGTACCTCTAAGCAATATAACCATTTGGGAGAGTCTACAGGTTTGATGTGGACTGCTCCATAACCAAACAGCTCTAAAGTGATATGAACAATGACAGGCGCAATGGTGCATCCGGTATCATTTCTTTACTGCTGCAGTGAGGAAAATCACCAGTGACCTTTCTGTGTTACAAAGACCAGTGGTACCAGTATTAATATTGCCAAATAATGAGTGTAAGATAAGATGAGATAACACTTTATTGATCCCCAGAAGGGAAATTAAGTAGGTAGTCTATTACAACAACAAACCTCTTTCATACTGGAATTAGGTTGTTATGGGGCGTGTATATGTGTACAGCAGCTCATGTCTTACCTATGCCCTTGTACTTGGAGGGTGTGTGCACAGAGAATCCATTGATAGCCCGTAGGTCCTCAGGGGACAGCTGGTAGGGCGGTCGCAGCCTGATCTCTGTCTGCATGTCAGCCAGGTTGATCTTGGTGGACAGGGAACGAGGGCTGTTGTAGCGCTGTTTGGTCTTCTGGATGAAGGTGTCTGATGGATCACAGTTAGCACAACAACAAGATGGCTAATAACACACAGAGCAAAATGAGGGAGATAAACAGATCATTTGTATGTGACATTCTGTCAGGGTTAAAGCAAGATCTCAGTCTTTGATACACTGGATTAACTCTGAAATGATTCTTTAATAAACTGATCAATTGAAACCATTTTGATTATTTACTGTTTGAGTTGATTTATAAAAGTTTATATGCAAAGCATTCTCTGGTTGTAGGTTTTTATAATTCTTTGTATGTCATTACAAATTGAATATCTTTGCACTTTAGATTGTTGGCCCATGTGGCCTTTGAGATCTTGTGATGGACATTCGACTAACTAAAAAACAGAATAATCAAGAATGGAAATAATCACGCAGCCTTCCTCAGGATACACTGTAATGTTTGGGTGGGATGTTTGCAGGAAGTAATTTTGCGATGAAACATGATTTATTCTTTGGTGCAACCACTTTCCCTATATTGTGTTTTTTTGGGTTTTTTTTTTTTAACATCTACTTCTATTGCATTTCATACATTTCCCAGAATACATTGTGTTGAGCACTGAAGAATGTGGTTAGTGTTTTTAAACATACAGGAGGAAGGAAAAATTGTAGCAGTAATGGGAAAATAAGCAAAGCCAAGATCTACAAAATCCAACAGTGGTTACTCATCTAATTAAAACATGCTTCAAAATGCTGTAGTAATCAATGGAGCTCACCAAATTCAATGAAGGAGTACGGCCGCACAACACTGCTGATTCGCTTTGGGTCATAGGTGACGATAAACTCCTTCTGTAGCTCATCCAGGAAGCAGAAGGCCAGCACGTTGGGGTAGTTTGCGGTGCACACCATCAGGTATCCAACACCCAGTGAGCTTGTGAAACTGAAACATGCATACATGCACAAGAATTATTACTCCTGCACTCTTTTCTTCACAGAAATCCTGGGAAACTGTAATTAGGACATCCCGCTAAATACAGTGCAGATTACAGGAAAACACAATGGTACTTCTGAATCTGCTGGCTGCTGCTCTGAACAGTACAGACACTATTTCAGCACATTCTTGCCTAAAATTCACACATTCACAGCTAATTAAACATAGAACCACAATCACATTCATATGCACCTCGGCAGACATCTTTGGGCCCTGCAGAGTTAATTGATACACTGAGCACAAATTAAATTCCCCAGATACGACTTTCTACATTATCTGAATAGCTCAGAACACAATTGAGCGGAAAGCTGGTTATCACATCTAAATGGATGTGAAACATAAATGTCAACAAATAGAAAGACTGATGTAATGATTATCATGTGGCAAGATGGAAAAAACACAAAAAAAAAAACAAAGACAAAAGTATAGAAGATATCTGACGAATGAGGGTAAACCTGATACCAGCATGTCACTGTGCAGCAGCAGTTCCTCAAAAATGAACTAACTGACTCATACACAAAGTAGGGATGCAGCCAGGCAACTTAATCTCATAGATTACATGATGGTTTATATTGTGACCCCTAGTTTCACAGATGTGAAAAACACAAACTCTTCATTCACTGTTAGTGCACACCACGAAGTTGGTTGTGTCAATAACGATGTGAGTATATTATGACTATTACACCCACAGTTAGTAAGTGAAGTTCATTTATAAAGCACTTTTCAAGACCAGACATCACAAAGTGCCTCACAAAGACAGAAGAAACCCTAAGATTCAAAGGGTCCAAGGGGAATGAATTTTGAAATTAGGAGACACAACTTCAAAAAGGTACAGTCTCCTTTGGTTTTAAACCTACAGGGAGGAACAACCCTCCCTGATCAGAAGACCTCAGACACCTAAAAGTGATACAGAGCAGCAGGTAGGTGCCTGACCATGCAGAGCTCTAAATCTGATCACAAGAATCTTGAATTTGATTTGAAATCTGAAAAGCCAGAGAAAAGAAGTAAAGATTGGTGTAATAAGACCTGTTACAGGGCCTGACGAAAGTCAATGTTCAGCTTCAACTAGTGCATCACCACTTCTGACATCCTTCTAGTGGATGAATCTGTTTCACATTATCTCGACTCCCTAGACAGGATGCACAGACTGATGCACAGACAGATCAGAAAATATATCATAAACTTACTCCTGAGTAAAAGATAAAATAAAGCTAGATAAAGTCCTGAGGTATAACTGGTATAACTGATGATGCATGGGATACAGCTTGAGGATGTTAAAATATTATGGAATGTAAAGTAATCTATGTTAACATCACTGCAAAGTCCCTAAATCCCCTAACCCTATCAGATAACAGTATATTTGAAATCCCTATACAGGTAAGTTATACCAAGCTTGGAATGATAAAGCAAGTGAACGTATTCCAAGAATGTCTAAATGAAGTCAGCTTTTAAGGCTACAATTTACCAACGGTGAGTTATTTTCACACAGAAAGATACAAGGGAATCTGCTGTTTTCATCATACAAATATATCCATTTGTATGCAAATGTTTGGGTATGGCTGGGCAAATGACATTTTGTTGATTTCTGAAGTGAAAAGAAGTAAGTACAACCTCTGCAGCAAAGCAACATTAAAAATTCAAACGTTAATACACCGTTCCTCTTAATTTTATGAACTTCAAAAATAGAAAAAAATTTAGAGTAATTGTGGCATGTTGTGCTTAGTCAGTACTTAGTAACCCTCCCCCCTGCAGACTGTTAAGCATGGGGGTGGAAATACTCTGCTTTGGCACTCTGTGGCAGCCAGTGGCACAGTAAACATTGCACAGACAGAAAGAACAATGGAATCCACTAAAAATCAGCAAATTCTGAAACTGAAAAGAGGCTGGCATTTACAACAGTACACAATGATCCAAAGCAGACCTCAAAAATCCATGATTAACTACTTCAAGAAACACAAGCTGAAGCTTTTGGAACAGCCCTCATAGTCCTCTGCCTTGAACATCATTGAAAATCTGTTGGTAGATCTTAAACATGCTGTGTGTGCAAGAGAGCCTAAAAATATCTCAGAACCTGAACAGCAAGGAAGAGTGGGTGAAAAATCCTAAATCAAGAATAGAAAGACTCATAGCTGGCTACAAAAAATGTTGGCAAACTGTGGTACATTGCATTCAGACCACGCCATAATCACAAAGCAAAAACAGAATTTTAGAAATTTTTGCTAATTTATCAAAAAGAGTCTTCTTTGATATGACGCAACAAGCTTTGCACACCTGAATTTGGGAATACTCTGCCATTCTTCTCTGCAGATTCACTCAAGCTCTGTCAAATTGGATGGGGACCATCAGTGGACGGCTGACCCTCATGAACATTCGGCCCAGTCTGAGGTCCTGAGCGCTCTGGACCAGGTTTTCATTAAGGATATCTCTGTACTTTGCTCCATTCAGCTTTCCCTCAATTCTGACCAATCAAAGGAGGTCAAACAATTCAATTTTGGTTTCATCAGACTAGATAACCTTGTTTCTCATAGTCTGAGAGTCATTTAGGTGCTTTTTTGCAAATTGCAAGCAGCTTTCATGTGTCTTTCACTGAGCAGAAGATTCCATCTGGCCAATCTGCCATAAAGCCCAGATCAGTGGAGTGCTGCAGTGATGGTTGTCCTTCTGAGAATTTCTCCCATCTCTACACAGGATCTCTGGAGCTCAGCCAGAGTGAGCATCAGCTTCTTGGTCACCTCTCTTACCAAGGCCCTTCTCCCCCCAATTGCTCAGTTTGGCCAGGCTGCCAGCTCTAGGGCTGAGAGTCCTAGTTGTTGCAAACTTCTTCCATTAAAGAATTCTGGAGGTCACTGTGCTCTTGATAACTTTTAATGCAGCAGAAAGTTTTTTGTATCCTTTCCCAGATCTGTGCCACACAATACTGTCTTTGAGCTCTGCAGGCAGTTCCTTTGACCTCATGGCTTGGTTTTTTCTCTGATATGTATTGCCACCTGTGAGACCTTATATAGACAGATGTGTACTGTGTACTTTTCCAAATCGTCCAATAATTTTAATTTACCACAGGTGTCTCCAATCAAGGTGTAGAAACATGTCAAAGATGATCAAGAGAAATGGGAGGAACTTGAGCTAAATTTCAAGTGTCATAACAAAGTGTCTGAATACTTCTGTCAATGTGATATTTCAGTTTTTCCTTTTTAATAAATTTGCAAAGATTTCTAAAATTCTATTTTCACTTTGTCATTATGGGATATTGAGTGCAGATTGATTTGAGAAAAAATAAATCTAAATGATTTTAGCATAAGGCTGCGACATAACAAACGTGAAAAAAGGATTGAAAACTTTCTAAATGCACTGCATCTGCCAAGTGGGATGTTAACGAGTACTGACTTAGAAGCCCAAACATTTGCACATTCCACAATTATTGTTTAATTTTTTTCTATTTTTTAAGTTCACAAAATCAAAAGTGCATTGACATTTGAAGATGAATATGGAATCTTCCATTTTGTATATAACTATAACAGACTTAACAACAGCCTCCAAATGGCTTTGGGTATTAAAGAATATATTAACCTGTGACTTTATACACTGCCCACTTCATTCTGACCTTCAATGTCTTCTGAACTCCTCTTCTTCAGATGCTTATGGCTCTCCATCAATAAAGAGACTCTTATCAAAGGAGGCCTCGGTTGCTGAAAGGTATAGCTGTCTGACTGATGGCTGATTTTAAATTTCTTTTGAGGTCATGTCCTCTGTCTTAATAAGACTCATAACATCTTAACAAACAGCACTTGGGAGACTTTCAAAGCATTTCCCTGAGCACTGGTGGGGCTTTCAGAAACAGTCTGACACCTCAAATGAAAGCCTAACTGTCAAATCTCTCAAATTAAGAGGCATTTTTCAATCAAAACTGCATTAGAGGGTCAAGAAGAGAGGAGGAAAACTGTCAGCAGTGACTGTTTAATCACCCATGTGCCACTTTGGATGAAGATGCAGAAAAATGATCTAAATCTCTGTTTCATACCTTGAATTTTAAATGTATTCAACAAATGAATTCAAAACCAAATACATACAAATGTTCCATATCATGTGTACCTGGTTATGATGTTTCTTATCTGGTTAATACTGACTGTTTTTCACATTTAATAGTTTATGCGTGTTTAATTAGTAGATCAATTGAGTGTAAAGGGTTCCTCTAAAAGGGCCAAACATCAGGAATTTAAATTGACATCCAGTAAGACCTACTTGACATTGTATGGTCCAGTCTTAAGTGTGCAGCGGTCAGGGAACTGGCTGAGTTTCTTGGAGAGACCTTTGAGATGCCTCTTGGTTTCCTGAAGCTCTTTATCCTGCTCATAGTCAGTGGATGCAGAGAGAGGCAGGCCATCCCCGACCCGAACCACAGAGGCAAACACCACCATTGACATCTTACAGCTCTGGCAATCTCACTGAAGGCCTGCCAACAGAAGTAAAACAGGGAAGAGAGCTTGTTGAGAGACAGCTTGAATCTCAGACTGTATTGATATGTTGAATATCTAATAATGTTGTTCAATATACGGTTTTCAATTCAGTCCATGCTGTGTGTCAAACAACCATGAATCTTGTTCAAAATCAAGTTTAAACTAGAGACCATCTTGCAACGGGATCACAACAACCATGACACCCATTAACGTGTTGACATTTGACCCATGTCATCAGCACCCCAGTAGTAATTACTACATTATCAAGCACTCAGTACCCATGGGTCGGACCACACCCATCTTCAAACTTGGCTTGTTAACTTTATTGCTGACTGGAAATGGATTGAGAACTCATAAAGTTAATTCTCTTATTAACTAACATGAAATATTCAAGTTTATCTTAGCATATGAGCAACAAATGTGCAATGTGTAATTGTATAATTCTGAGTTTGTGACACTGTGGGTTGCAGACATTTTAAGGGGAGTCCCTACACTTACGATTTTTACTAGCTGAAATAGTGGGAATGGTATTGTTTCACCTTGTGAGTCTGTGTGTGTCATCATGGCAAAATGTGGTCCTACGGACACCTACTATATTGGGAACTACCACAGAAGTGGTTCTCAGTTCTCTTGAAATAATATAGTAATACCAACTGAGTAATCCTCGGTCGGAACAGCAATATGTTGATGGGCATCGCAGCTGGTGTGATCCCATCACAAGATGGTCTCTAGTTTTTGTTTTGATTTGTTTTATTGCAGAGTTCCAAATGCTCCTGTTGTGACACCAATATTGCTTATAATATCATTTGGCTCCCTTGTGTGCTTTGAATGACTTTCTGTATCCTTTAATGTCATTGTGTTTTCAGTGTGTGTCAGATTTGGGCCCTCCTCAACTAGATATCATCTTTAAACGCAAACTGAAGTCAGGTCTAAACATAAATATAATGACAATGGTTACGGTATTGTTAGAGCACTTAGAAATTATGGGAGCCCATCATGTTTTGTGGTGAGACCTGTTATACTGTGAAATATTTAAAAGCCATCAACTATTATACACCTGCAGCAACACAAGAGAAAGGTGACAAAGTTATTCCAAAGCAAAGCAGTGGAAGAGTATAAGGAAGAGTTTGGTAATGTTTTCTCTAGAGGTATTTGAAAAGGTGGTGAAGTGTTTATTTATTATTTTGCAGTCTATTAGTTAGTGAATTCAGCCACTGGCATTTAATGATACCTAAAATGTAAAACAAGGTTTATTTCATGACAAGTATAACTATCTAGTGAAGACCTAATAATTGGAGTCTTTGCATTGCAAGTTTCTTCCTTCATTGATGATGGGTTATTAAAATGAACACAACCCATCAGTGGCTATGTGTTCGTTTGAATTAGAACCATGGACAGCTCCACAGACTGAATGAAGGGGCGTTGAAAGGAAGCTCTTGGATGCATTACGTCGCGACCTACTGCCCTCGTGGCAAAACGTCAACATTTCATAGCTTTAAAGCAAACTCAACACTTTGACCTCACTACCTGGTTTAATCAATTAAAAGTACAGCAAGACATTACGACGACGGTTTGTCAGAGGAAAGATGTTAGCTAGAGCCGTGGGTCAGTAGCCAAGGAGTAGAGTTAACTCTATTTACGTACAAAGCTCTCACCTGAACGCTTGGCGCATTGGCTAGAAGTTTCGTGTTTTTCTTAACGTTTATGTATTAGCAGTCAGTTGACATTATAAGCAAATCAACTCGCTAGATTCATTGGAGCATATTAGCCACCCAGCCCACCGTTAGCAGCTAACCAAATTAGCTTGTTCGCCAACATATCCTGTATGCTAACGTTAGCAGGCTGAAGAGCTAACCGTTAGCTGCTTTGCATACCAACAACTCAGGACAACGTTATAAGCAAACCTGAACAAAATACACATAACCCTAACCCTGACAATCTATAATAGTTATTTGGATATTTAATACCTGGCAAACGAGTGTAGCATCGTGTGGATACCCGTGATATGCTGCTCTGGAAGTGTGCAGTGAGCAGAGGTAGCTAGCGAGCCAGACAGCAGGACCGTTTACGTTTACGTGGCTGTTTCGCCGTGCATTGTGGGTAAAGAAAGTCATCTATTAGCATTGCAGGAAAAACAAATAACAAAATAAGAAAGAAGCTGTGGTAATAATACACCAGGAATAATTTTAATTCTGTCCAATGTTTGACTTCCGTCCCGGACAGTGAAATAAATTTATGGATAGAATTTAACAGATTTTTGCTTCTGAATCTAACTGAGGAAATTACGATTGAAATCTTTGACACTTTCCCTGTCCCTGCGTCTTCTGCATAATTGAGTCAATTTCGCATTGATTTACTTTTGTACTCACTCATCTAGAAGTGCTATAATATTTGCTGTAATATATATTTTTTGTCCCTATTTCAGATTTTAAACCATTGTTTAAATCTTTAAAATTATTAATTATTATCTATCATTATTTTTCTTTCAATAAAGTTGTTAATTTGTCTCTAATTTCATGGAGTATTTAAAATAATAATTATACAATAACAGCAGCGATTATTTGTGTTCTTGTTATTTTAACTTAAACTTTATATGACTTTATTTGACGACTAATTTGGCAACACACTCCTGATTAGATTGTTGAAAATAATAGGAATGATTAATAAACCATTACTTAATTTGCATGCGGTAAGAGATATGAGTGAAATAAAATAATAAAATTCTTAATTCAAGGTCCATTTAGGTTCCTTTGGAGCCTTCAGTACATTTCACACTGGGGGTGTTACAATTACATGGTCAGCACCTTATACCCCTAGGCCATCAGTATACCATTTACAGAAGTGGACAACATAAAAAAACATAACAAAAAAAAAGTAAATAGTAATAATAATAGTTACTTTATTTGCTTATTCCTCCTTAATTGACATTGTTAATATTCATGAGCTCATTAACTTTGTGATACATACTATGTTTCATAGGCTAATTTAAATTTTCACTACATTTTTTATTCCATACTTGCCCCAGTTGCTACTCTCCCACTGAAAGCCAGTAACAAATTAGCTGCACTCCCAAGTTTTTTCTTTTTTTTTTTTTTTTAAAACACTGAAATTTAAATAACATGAAAAATGAATAATGTGTACCCAAAGCCTGCCAAGGTTTAGTGCTCCACTCAGACCTGAAATAGGCCATTCACTGGTGTCAGCATTTTCTTCTATTTTCATACATTTCCTGTTAGAGTATGGACAACAACAAAACTGTGGATAGAGGAAATGAAAACAATACAGAGACAGTTAGTGGCCTCATCCTTCACACACCATACCTATGCAATCTCCCCAGAGCTCAGGCAATGTGTCAGCCTGAAGGGACCTCCTGAGTACCCTCACGGCCTGTGTGAGAGAGGGAGAAAGACAGACACACAGTGAATGTGGATGATGGATGTCTGCTGCTGCTGACAAGTTGATGAATAGCCACAGGTCTCAGTGAGTGTTTAGTGCAGAGAATGTCAGGTGCAAGGAAAGCACAGTGTCGTCAGTCACAGTGACACAGTCTAAACAGATGTGCAAACACATCAGCATTCAAATGCATCAGCGCGAATTGCCTCTTTCTCAGGATGTCATCATTATACGTTTCAACTTTGAGCTCAGCAATTCTTGAGAACTATGACATATCTAAAAATATACCTGCAGAACATTATCTTGGTTCACCTGCAGGATTTTGACATGTTTTCCTGGAAATTCATGACATGTATTTTTTACTGTCTTGGGTAAGAACCAATATGATTCATTCATTACATCTTCTAATAACAAAGTGAGAGATCAGACAATGTGTGCACCCACCGTTGCTAAAAGTTTTGTTTGTCCTGAGGATGCTGCTAAAGGCCTGTGAAATGTCCAGTAAGTTCATCAGCAATCACCCTCTGGAGACCATGAATATCTACACCAAATCTTATGCCAGTGTCTCTGGTGGCTGTTTGCATATCTTGAAATCTTTCTCTGGACCAAATTGTAGGACAAAGTAACAGAAAACTGATGGACATTCAGTGTGTAGTGATCTGATATATTTGATTTTCTTAAAGTCAAACACGTTAAGACGCCAAAAATTGACAAAGAGAACTCATTTAGTAGCCATGGAGAGTACTACTCGGGCTGTGAAAGCAGGTGTCGCTATAAGGGAGCTCTGAAAAAACACTCTCTCTAATAGTCCACTTACTACAGGGCAGTTTGTAGTTCCAGTGAAGGGACGATTTACTGGTCTGGCATACAATGATATTTTACACAATAGAAAATAAAATTCTCCCAAAGCATGGTCCATAAAGACATGGTTTTCCCAGTTTGGTGTGGGAGAAATGTACTATACATTTTTTGTCAGAGATCCTCCGTTGAAAGACTTGTACATTTACCAGGCACAATGGAGGAAACCCTATCAAAGTACATTATAGGAAGTGTAGGATGTAGTGCTTTTGGAGCATGATCCATGATTATGACTAAATGTCAAGATATCTCAGTCTCTGCTGCATCACCACGGATCAGTCTTTCCAAAAATATAACTCTTGCAAGTCCTCCGATTTAATGAAAGTAATTTATCATTGGAATGCTCTTTCAGTTATTGATTTTTGTTAATGTGCAAGTATGTAGTTGGAATACAGCATCTTCAGCATGAGGGAAATGAGGGTCTTGAACAGAAGTGATCATAAATAATTAACAGTAAATGTCTTGGTATAATAAGCTGTACACTTAACGTCCATGTGTGAATTAAAGTTGTATACAGGGTGTAGCTGCTGCTGCTAAATAAGATTAATATAGAGAAGATACACCTGATTTACCTGAAAGGTCAATTCCACCAGAAACAGTCAGACAACAGTCAGTTGTCACTCTTTACACGGAACATGGTTTTTATGTAAGTCTAGCTTGCATTCATTTGCAGAAACATCTTTTGTTGTCGGTTGTTAAACATGGAAGCTATTCATTAAAGGTCAGTTCAGTTTCCCCTGACGGTTCCACCGGTCAACCCAGTCAGTCTTCGACATTTTCATGGCACAGATTTGATGGATTTCCTAAATTTTAATTGACCAACTTCTACCAGCGATATCATAAAATAAATGCTTTTCCTCTGAGTATTGACTGAAAGCTCCATTGAATTTCACACAGAGTGAACATATGGATCGTTCAGCAAAGAATGCAAATAATTCTAATTACTGCCTCATGAGAAACGAGCTAAAGAAAATCTTCACCTCTCTCTAGCAGACACTCAAAGGTCCATTTATTTCACTGTTTGTCCCAGTGTCAGCGTATTGATAGGCAAGAGAAAAATAATAATAATAATGGGATGGAACTAAAGTACAGAAAACAGGTCGTTGCTTTTTAATGATGCATCTGAAAAAAGAAGGGGTCATGTGTGGGCTTGTATAAAAAAAATGAACACAATGATGTCACAGGGAAGCAGAGGGGAGGTAGAGAACAGGCGGACGGATGAAGGCAGAATGCAGATTGACATCACAAAGATATAATCCTGAAGAGCCCCAAACACAATTATCCATAAAGGGAAAATGGCTTCTGTTAAGGATACTTGAATGCAAGCAGACCTTGACTTAGTATTAACAACCCTCCATTTCTTATGCTCATTTTCCACAGGTTAAAGTGCGTGTCCTTCCCCTCCAAGAAAACCCACAAAGAAGTAATGAATCAAAGCTCCCAGGCATGAAAAATGCTCTGCCCCTTTGAAAATCCTCTAAAGTGAAATTGGGATTGAGAGGTTATTTCTGCCTGTGCTCAAAGACATTAATCAGCCTGCTATGGCTCAACACTGCATGCATCCCAACAACAGCACTTTATCTAAACAGACCTACGTGACCCTGCAATCACTGAACACAAGAAACTTCAGTCTCAAAGTCACTCCTCGGCTTAGACCGAGCCTTCAGGTGGAAGATGTGAAGTCTTGACTCCCCACAGGTTTCTCAGGACATCGATCCTAAGTGTTTTTTTTTTTTTGTCATGCTTGTCCTCTTTGAAACAACGAAGTTCAAGAAAAGGAGCTGTGACAGCTACTTTCACCAACGTCACCATGAGTGGGGTCACTTTTAGGTCCTGTGCCATTTTCCAGCCATTTCTCATAATAAAGCCATCAGTGTCAGATCTGCTGAGTGCCGCTCATGGTCCATTTGTTTCCTTTCAGAGATGCAGAAATGAGAGAAATGTCAAAACAAACAAGCACAAAAACTGCTTTCACCAGGACTGTCCATCAGCCGAGCCAACCGACAAGGTCAACTTCTATTTTTTTTCATTGTGTCAACAGAGCAGCCTGGCGCTGCTGCTGCTGCTGCTGTAAACATGTGCTCACACTCTCAGCGCTGAGCTGAGAGTTTATAAAGAGTGTAAAGAGATTAAAGAGTCTCTTTATTCAGAATGGATGGATACGGACGAGGCAGCCAACATCAGTCATTAGAAGTTGTGACCATTTTTTCACCTTTGTAGTGATGATTAATTTCTACAATAATCAATTACTTGTGTTGTTTATTAGCAACATTAATGCTGTTTAGTGCTTCTCATCCAATTCCCTAATGAATGGAGTCGCCAGTCATGTCAGCCCGTCTGTACTAGCACAGCAGTGCTTTGACACCAGCATGCTAACATGTTCATAATGTCAACAGAGACTATATATAGAATATCAATTACATGTTTAATTGCTAATGTTTAACATGTTCACAATCTTAGTTTTGTATGTTAGCATGCTAACATTTCGTTAGCATTACAAAGTGCAGTTGAGGCCGAAGGGAATGTCAGGTACTTGGTCAAGAAACAAATTATTGGTCAAATCACTGGCCTGATGGTTATTACAATTACAATTCCTCCTGTGGGGACATGAATGTGTGCGCCAAACTTCACAGTGATCTATCCATAAGAGACAATTTGCTGTCGATGGAAGTGGTGGACCGACAGACACCACTGCCATCCCCAGAGCCACAACCCAAACCGTGGCTCAACAATTATTAAATAACAAAACTTGGTTGTAAATTAACACAAACAGAATAGAGTTGTATATAAGGTATAAAAACAAGTGAAAAATGTTCTGGAAATGTTTGACTTTATTTATTTTTTATCTCGCAAGGTCCTTACTGCAATGGGCAAAACTGTACATATGGCTGGGCACAGAAAAATCAACAAAGGCAACAATGACTTCTTGGCATTAAGTGTGACAGATCCCCACACAACATGGATACCTTTGGGATAAGACAGAGGTGGTCTTTCTATTATTCAACAAACTGTGGAGGTTCCTAAAGAAAACAGACAAAGTAATCAAAAGGTAATTACTTCCCCTTGAGAGGAGAATCAACACCTAATTACGGTGACATGTCAACACCTAACTGTATAAAGAACTCGTTCAAAATGCTCTCGCATACCATGAGTCACAATAAACATTGAACACAAACAAGTGTTTGGTGCCAGCCAGAACATTTGAGACAGTTTCTCTTGGAATTAGTCCATTAAGAATCACAACGTTATTCGTCTGACGAGAAATGGTTCAGTAACATCAACTGACAATACGTCTTACTCAATACATGATATTCTGATATAGCACAGAAAAAGGACAATTCAATATTTTCATCTTGGGATACAAACAATATTTGATTTGGTGACCTAGGGGCTCAAAATTATTCAGCTGGAATGCAAAATTACAAACAAACTAGTTCCCTTTAATTGTGTTTCGCTATCCCTGAGAACCGTATTCATGATGAAAGAAACCAAAGTCTTGAATAACAAGTTCAGCTACAGATAAGCCTTTAAATATTTATGTCGGCCGAAGCGTGGGAGCTGAAAACACAAACATTAAAAAAGTGGCCACAGAGGTAATAATGATAGCTCTGAATCAATGATGATGTTACGCTGGGAGAAGCCGGTAAGGGAGCCTGGAGACTTCACTCATTTAATGCTTAATTACGTCTTGGATGTACTGTGAAGTCATCTCTTTGAATATGATGGAGGGCATGGGAGAGCAGTGTCCAAGCTGACTGAGGCCAAGGCATGGCAGGCAGGCAGATAGAGATCGGGGCAAAACTGGCCTGAGTGCTGTCACTTTGCTTTTGGCTCCTTGCTGTCGTTCTTTTCGGCAGAAAGTGGTGGAAACATGTGGCCATAAAACAGACTGTAAACTTAAACAAAAACCCTGAATGCCCAAAGTGTAAACCAGTGGTCTGAATTATTCCAACATCTCCCTGAACATTGTATGAATGCAGGATATTGGGTGATTACTTTAACAGGAGGAGGGAAGATTCTCGTTTTGGACATTTTATGATCAGCATGCAATATAGATGAGCCTCTCCCATACCTGTGTAAATGAGCCCTACGCTTGTTAAAACTGATGAAATCCCACTGTGAATGAACAACACAGGACGTACAAGAGGTGAAATGTCACTACAGCTGTGAATGTTAATATTTGGAAAAGTACAATGCATGAAAATATCAAGGGCAATGCGCAGTAATATTTGGCATTTCATGTTTTTTTTTTTCCCTTCTCGTTTGACGTGTTCTGCTCCATGACTTACTTGAGGGAATTGCAAGGGCACCAGGCCTCTGATTCCCCTCCACTCATCATTTCATATCTCTGCAATTCCAGCAATTTTTCTTTCCTTCTTTTTTTTTTATATCTGTAAGGCCACAGCACATTTGAGCAAACAAAAAAAAAGAGTCATTTCTAAAAGCAAAACTAATCATGAAAGCTTGGAACCATACCGATTATTGACCCTTTGGCCATGATTTCACCTACCTCACATTGCTACGGTACCTGATTACCTACAGTAGCACTTCTCACAGCTTTGGGCTGTTTCAGATGTTAGTGTTAAACGCAGTTATCTTCCAGCTGATCTGTGAGGATAACAAAGCAATATTCTGGATGGTTGTGGACTTGAGACGTCAGGATTCTGTACAAAAATATTGGATCAGGTGTATGACAATTATCAGCATGTGTCTCTTCTAGAGGCAGAGCAGGGATGATGGGACTTGATTAGGACCCCTGTAAAGTGACGGACAGTGTATCCTCCATCTTTAACTAATGATGCCCACCACCCTCCACTATGGGTGTCAGTCAGTCACACATACCCCCACAGGGCTAAGCAGGGGTCAGTATTGCATAGATACTGTATAGGGTGTAGCTTTTCACATATGCAGTCACAGTGTTTGGGCAAAGTAAAACAAAAATGAAAAATGAAATCACTTTTTTGTCTGTGTATTTTCTGCCCATCAGAATATCCATGAAAAAAAAAAAAAGAAGTCTCAGGTGGTCGGTCTGACTGTAGGTACTCTGTTGGTATTATTACAAACGTGATCACCACGGTATAAAAAATAGCCTTTCGCTGAGGTCATCAAGTCTCCCATGTCAGTGCGGATAGGGCCCTTGCCAGGGTCAAGGGTCACAGTGCAATGACAAACTGTGCAGTGCAACACCCCCACCCCCCACCCCTCCCTCACTGCACACCAGCCTCAAAGCTCCTCCTTCCTCTTGACAACCTTTTCCTGGTCGCGTCCTCTTAGGCTGCGCATGAATCCTGTGAAGCCCGCCTCCTGTGGAGAGAGGGACAGTTAGTGAGTCACTTAGTGACTGTTTCACAACTTGAGGCAGCTTATCAGTCTTGAAATGCCCTTTTCTGATCTAATTTAAATCAAGAGTCCCGTCATTAAACATTATCTCAACTTGGCCTGACAGGTGGGAGATAAGAAATGTAAACGCAGAATCCAAATGTTGTTGCCAATCTCAAGGTCAATCTGCTTAGCCGCATCTAAAATATCAACATCTACGTGTTTTATTCTCTCGTCTAATAATCCACTTAAGGTTGCGCTGTGTGCATGACACCGGCCCTGGACAATCTTATATTTTACCATAAATAGTTCAATAAATAGTTCAGTTAGCATAATATTTCTGTCCATTTGTGGTGATCTGTCCAGAAGAAAAGTCTAGGCGTGAAAAACTGCAGCAAAGATCCATCTGAACAACACATTACAGACGACTTCTTTCATGTGTTTGCACAGACACGGTGGAATCGCTACTGAGAATGTGGACGTGCAGACTAGATGTCGAGTGTGTAGTCTCAGAGGCCGTAAGTGACAAAGCAGGTGAGATATTCACTCCGACTTACCCCACGATCTCCACTGTATCTTTCCACAAACTTGCCGTAGTTGTAGTAGTTGAACGTCGGGTAGCCCTCCACCCCTTCCTGCTTACACAGCTCGTGGTTCTGTCCTTTTGTACAGTCCACAGCGGCGTACACAATCTGAAGAAGAACAGATGACAACAGTGAGCAAAGAATAATGCAACATAGAGCGAGGCATTTATCAACTTTATTATCAACCTCATGTAATGTCAAAAATATCATTTCAAGTCGTCAAATCTCTAAGAAATATGTTTCACATGTTGGCATACTTGTCAGGATGCATTGCATGTGGGTTTAAACTCCTTAGAAAACATTCTTCAATCTATGTTGGAGAAAAAAATTACCCAATGAAAACTTGATGAAGTTTAATGTAGCTACTCATTTGTGCTGCCTGTGGATATAAAAGCTGCCAAGATTTGCAACATCTTTTGCCTCTTAAACCCTGTTGAAAGCAAGTTTATTTATGATTTGGCTCCCATTCTATCATTATATGTCCCTGTTTTATTGTTCTATAAAAATGATTTTAATTCACATTCAGCATTTTTATTGTTCCTGTTCAATTAGTTATTATTTCGGTGTCTCCGATGCGCTCACTATATTTTTGAGAGCAAATAAACTTTATTATAATTGTAGATCAATACTATAAAAAAAAATACACACAAAGTATTACATGAGAATGTAATAGAGAACTCAATATTTATCCACTTAAAACGGGTATTTACAACAAGAGCTTACATGCTTCCAGCTGCTGGCCCTGAGCAGCCTGAGCACACTCCTCTCATCCAAATTTAGACCACTACTTTCTCTTTCCAGGTTACAAAAAAATGACTGATGCATTGCTCTTCAGCTAAACCGTTTGGAGTGGGTGGTGATGGGGGGAAAAAAAAAAGGTCCCACAACAGTCACTCCTACATAAAAACAACAAGGGAGATTTATGTTGCAAAGCTGTTGCATCGATTAGTGACAAGCCACCCAATGAGGCGTAAATGCCGCCTCACTGATACATGGCTCACTCAGCGTGTCCTTTTGGACAGCTGAAATGTCACCCTCTCTCAGGGTGCTGAACGCCGCACAGTGAACTTGTCAACATCAAATAATCGCTCGCCGTCCATCTGTCTGCTCGAGCTGAATGCGGAAATGACAGATCTGCTGCAGAACGAAAACGCATTAGACACTTTTCTCTGCGTGGCCTACCGTGAAGCGACTCTCTAAAACTTCTTGTCCTAATTACAAAATACAAGTGTCTCTCGATTTTTTTTCCATTATGCAAATACAAACACTCAAATGCTGAGAATCTGCATAAGCACCAACATACTGTTAGATGAGTACACTGTTGTCGAGTGGCGACTTTGTCTGCATCAGCAGCGAAGACATCGGAATGCGAAGGGAGTGGAGGGGAATAAAACTTGAGGCTACTACACACCAGTGGGCAAGACAGAGCCTATAAAGGGATAATCTTCCTCTACGGTCTGTTACTCAAGTGCCTTCAACTCTATGTGCCCCCACAACAATAGGATTTCACAGACTTGCTCCAAGCTGTGTTTATTCAGCAGGACTGAGGTGTTTCCCCTTTGAAAGAGCAAATTAAAAGTCAACAAAAATCTAGCTGACAACACTGCTTAAAATCATCCTATTCTTAGGTCACGAAAAGATAGTTTACAATTGGAGAGGCTTTTAATATTTATCCACTTCTGAGTAACGACAGTTTGAAATACACAGAGTGCTTTAAGCAGCAACAAGGGACATAATGTAACTACAGACTTTATCCGGCTGCTCGTCCCTGTGTAATCAATCAGAGCTGCTGTGAATTGACAGAACAAAATGAAGTCGTGGAGACGTTGTTCTTCAAAGTCTGCAGCTGCTTCCATTATTGACCCATCTTCAAGTGGCAGAGGACCACACATCACGCCACCGATCCAACAGCAACATTTCCAAGGAGCCGTTTATTACCGGTTGACTTGGTCTCAATCCACCAGCGTCAGACTGAGGAGCAGAGCAGTAATCAAACTATACCGATAACACTCACATCGTGCTCGGTCCTCACAACAAAGCCCCTGTACTTTATAGCTGTCCCCAAGCTGCTATGCAATACTGGAAATACAGTAAATCAAGAAATATTTTAATAGATCAGTATCAGTTATCTTGAAGAGAGACAACGTAATAAAAAAAAAAGAATACACTCTCCTTTTCATGAATAGTGGCAGCAGATCTCTCTTAAATTCAGGGCCTGTCCCGTCTCATGACTTTGTGCTGCCTGTCTTTCCCGTGCTGAAAGTTTCTCTCTCCTGCATCTTGCTGCACGCTGCCTGGACATCTTCACCTTTCTGCACTCCTTCCTGGCTGAAGGAGTATTTACAGTTGAAATGGGATACTTGGGTGGATAATTCTGACTTGGATCTTATTTTTATAGCTTTGGCCATCATTTGTATTGGTTATGACTGCGTTGTGCTCATCAAAGTACACTGTCCCAAAAAGCATTTTTCCCATACACAATTATTGGAAAAGGAGCGGCTATAAAATGTTAAATATATGTTTTGACTTTTTTTATTGTCAGATTTTTGATTCATTCTGTCCAATAACATTTGGAAAGTCTAGAAAAGTCGTTTTAGTTTTTATTTTATTCCATTCATGTGTTTGGGGAGTTAGCCAGCACAGCAGGCAGATTCTTGGAAACGCATGCTCTTACTCAGCTTGACTGGAGAAGTCTCTAGCGTCTGTGCGCTAAAGTGGAAGGTTCTTTGTTTGCACAGGATAAACGATACAGGGACCCACGTAAAAACAGCTTCATAGCGCTACCAGGGATCTACAGTAAAAATCCTCTGTCATTATTTTCCAGGAAGTGACAGTGTACCAGTAAGCCTCCATTTAATGGGGTATTAAAGTGTTCACTGTGCAGCTGCATCATGTACGAATACAATGGATAACAGGGAGGAAACTCCATATTGCTACATGTTCAGACAGCTTTTGGAAACAAGCAGCTCCAGCCAATGTGCACCTTTAATGCTGCTATTGATTGGAATTTGTGGAAAAGACAAACAGCTCAGAACAAACCCTGAGCACAGCTCCCCTGCTGTCATACAGCACAGAATGTTTTAATTGTTTGTGTCTTCAAAGCCGGAGCTAAGCTCGTGTTTGTCTTTGGTAATTGAGGCAAGGGCAGCTAATAGACTGTGATCAACACTGGCCTGGTACAATACACTGTGTCTCGGCTTTATAAATAGAGAGGATTGCCAAGTAAACACTCAGAGCTCTCTTGTTCAAACACAACTTCACACCTCCAGTGGCCACTTGAGGGACGACGATAGGGAAGAAATCTTAAGCTTCTGTACTTATATAACCTTTGCAGATATGAGCGTCCCCTGGTTCAGCAGCTTGTGGAGGTTTTACCATAAGGATACTGATCCGAACAACACAGCTAAGCGGTGAAGCAATGTCAAAGCGCCTTGAGCTGTTGTGGCCACTGGATACTGGATGTCAAAACTAAACATTTCCGACTCTTCTGAAAGTCCTGACATTTATCTTCAAATAAAGTTTTTAGGTTGTTAGGGTGTCAATACTTTGTGTTTCATGGTGGCCATTTTGGGAATCATAGCTCCGTATTGTTGCTTGCGCTCGTTGGACTGACGGGTGTCAAACCACCAGGCAGGGCCAGAATCTGTTCTTAATGACTTGCCTGGTTATATAAGTAAAGGTTATACTGGTGTATTTCAGTGTGAAATGAAGGAATGAACAAAGGAATGTACGAGTTCCTAAAGTGGTAGCTGACGGGCAGTACTCAGACTTGTACACAAACAGCTCGTCTGCTGAGGTTTAATACTATCCAGAAATGTTACAAAGGATTGCCTCAGAAAAATGGATGACTAAGATGTTGAGGACATGTCACTGTTTCGAGCCATCTGACAATGATTTTGAAAAATTCCAAAATAATGAGACAATAACATTGCCTGAGCACCACTGGAGCATGTGCACTTAACATTAAGCATCTCAATGAGTCAACAATTTGATGTTTTTTTTAAAAGGTGAGTGTCACTTTGAGACGATAAATTATAGCTCACGGTATCGCCAGACACGCGCCCACATTTTTTTTTTTTTAACTGCGTGTGTGTGTGTGTGAGAGTGAGTCACACAGTTAAGGAGGCTTGGAAATATTGAGCCCTGCAGTCAGAGGGTATTAACAAGGAAGAGCAGGAGTGGGAGGTGTCGGGACACAAGTCCTGAGGGAAAAGGAATAAGAGGGAGCAGAGATGATGGAGGATGAGGATGAATGTGTGTGCTGTTGTAATTCCATGAACAGTCAGTGACCTGAAGATTTGTGGAGACTGTGTTGGCTTTAGCCAAGTGGTCAAATTCCTAACTGTCACATGGAGACAGATACGAGGAACGAGGTGGAAGGAGTTCTAAGTTTTAGGTTGTGAGTTTTCAGGATACCACTGTAATGCTAAGATCTTATCAGACATCTTGAAATATGTGAGTGTAATCACTCTGCAGGCTCATTTTAGATTACCTGTTTCTTTTTTTTTTATAAAACTCTGACATCTATTGAGCTGTTATTAAAATCCAAAAAGTCTGTACAAAAGTTACAGAATTAACATTAAGTGTCAACATTTGTGTGAACATTTAAATCCAATTCATATTTGACAGCAATACATACAGAACTGGAAGTGTGACTAGACCTACGTTATATATTTTGTTGAGTTGTGTTCTTACATTATGTTAACTGTTTCCATCTATTTTTAAATTCTGTAGAAATGAATCATTTTAATCATGGTAATGGTCCATTTCATTTGGTCACCTGTCAATGTCATACCCCCCTTTTTGCACGAGTCATTATTGTGGTTGTGTGCCAGAAGCTCAAAATAGACTTTTTAAGCCACATTTTTATGACACACTTTTTAGATCTTGGTTGTGTTTAACTATGTATTTTAACCGGATGAAGGATTTTACTCACTGGACGTCTCGGATGTTATCAGAGAACAAAGCTGAGCAAACATTAGCAGCAGCTCAGCACGGAGCCCCTTTGAGGCACCGAACAGTGTGGGACACACTGATTTTATCACGTGAAACTGCTTAATTCAGCATTTTTACCAGATTTAGTCACCGGGTCAGTTTGTTTTGGAGACAAAGGGAACTCTGCTGATAATCTGGCTACTGGTAAAAAACCTTCTGAAAGTTATCAGAGAAACAAGCTGAGGAAAATTTAACAGCAGCTACTATGGGACAATTTTTAATAAAATTTTAGTCAGTATTTTTACCGGTTTTAATCACTTGATCCGTTTCATTTTTAGAAAGTAAGAGACCTCTGCGGATAATTTTGCTCCCGACAAAAAACCTCCTGAAAGACACTGAGGGAATCCTAACTGGGAGAAGCTGACTGCAATGACAGCAATGGCGGTGAAGACAACAACTCCCATGATCCCACTTCACAATGTCACCAAACTCAATCTTTTGTTATCGTTTTGATTGAGAGACCGCTAGTAGCAAAAATATCACATACTGTATATTTAAGAGGCTAAACACATCCCAGCACTGAAGCTGCACTGGACACACAGCGATGAAATCCACACTGATCTGGGTCATGATCAGGAAACATCATCAGAAGGCATCAAGAGTTAGCTTGAGCTATGAGGTATCCTTACCACACTGCTGCTGCCAGGTGTAAAAGTATGTTTTCAACTGAATGTGTGAAGAGGAAACACTAACCTTGCGGTCCTCTTTGAAGAGCTCCGCCGCTGTGGTGAAGTGGGGGACAGCGTTTTTACAGTGTGGACACCCTGTGAGAGGAGAACATACAGATGGGACATTATTACAGCTCATCATTACACATTTACAACGCAACATCCGGCCTCACATCCTAAACAACACCGCGGCGGGGGGCAATAATGTCACATAAACACGATGCTACAAAAAACGCACACAATCAGAGGTACTACAAAATCATTTTAATACATCGTTTACTCAATCTCAAACACGTTCATAAAGCACGTGGCCCTGTCACAATCCTGCAGTTATTTAGGGGCTCACGCCACATTAGAGATGGTTCAGTTGTGTGTTATGAGAGACTGTAAATCTCTTTATTGCTGCCATAAACACAACCTCCCCGGAGCTCTCTCTGCTCCAGCAGCCATCCATTTACAGTATGTCAATACTTACACAAATACACCTCTAGGTACCACAACGACAGATCATGTTTACAGGCAGAAGGTTGTATGGTCAGTATTAAACTGTGAGGGAATATTTTCTGATTCCAGCTTAATCGCGCTAAGGAGAGGAAGATGTGTTCTTGCATGGCACTTGCAATCAAGCAGAGTGATTGTTGCTGTAATGACTTTTGATTTTCTGTTTGTCTTATTCTTTTTGTTGCTAATGTCAAGTACACAGTTTTTTTCCGTTCAGTGCAATCAAACTGCTGTTACCTCTGTTGGAAACTGAATTCTTGTGTAGGAGAGGTGAGAAATGCAGAAACAGCTCTTGTGGTGACGAACACATTTTCAAAAAAGGAAAAAAAAATGGGGTTATCAGTGGGTAACCGGATAAAAGCCTTTGTGTGGACGGTAAGGGTGAAATGTCAGTCAGTCAGCCCATGACAAAGAGTAACAAACGGACAATCATTTTAAGGAGGTACATACATTATTGCTTTATTTTCTTTTTTAAAGAAAGAATATCTTCCCATGGGATTACTAACTAAGCTTATTGTTAAGTTAATCAGTGCTGGCTCTTTGGATGGAAACATGTTGGTTAACAGGACGCCACAACTTCTGTTCAAACCCTCTCGAGGTGCTGTTTGACTCACCTAACCCCTCTAATACACGGCCAAGAATATGTGGATACCCAACATCACACCCACATGTGACTGCTGAGCATGTCCTTCCAAAACCATGGGAATGAATCTGCGCCTGTAACCGTCTCCATCCAGGTTTCACACTTTGGATTTGCTCACGTTGAGCCATAAGAGCATTAGTGAGGTCAAACACTGATGTGATGAGGACTTTCTCGCAGGTTCATCATAAAGATGGTCGATCGAGTAGTGGTCGGGGTCTCTCTTCCAGATCAAACTGCTGTCACAAAGTTGGAGAAGCACTGTTATCTAAAAATGTTATTGTAACATTTTCCCCTTAATTGGCCATTTAGTATACTTGCTCTCCATATTAAAGCCACTAGGTAGGAGATCATCCGAATAGTGTAACAGATTATTAAAGATGCATCTCATCTTGTAAAAGAATTTACAAAAGAAAATATATTCAGTTACCTACTGTTGAGACTGGCCCTGTTATAACCAAGATCTCAGGATTTGTTCCCATGAGTCATTAACATTAATCCCACTGTAAATGGATTTTACAGGCCAGAAGTGCACGGACAGACGACACTGTGGTGGCCACAGTTATAACTTAGTAAACTGTCCATTCATCTTCCTTTCCAAAGCTACCTCTCTGAGGCTGCATTCAGCCAACTTAGAAAGCATTTTCTGCTGAAGTACCCTATTAGCTGCAATATTCAGCGCCCTTTAAACCTTTAAAAGCTCTGTCGCAATTCTCAAACAGATATATCTTAAAAAAAAAAAAAAAAAAAAAAAAAAAAACCAAACAACCAGAGCAGATGCATATGCTGTGTTTTGTCCCCTCACATGAGGACAACAGACTTATCAGACAGATCATTGTAAGTGCTCAGAGACATGAGAGCGATAACTAAGTAAAGGGCAGGTGGCTGCACTCCAAGTACTGTATAGGAATATCTCAGCTTTCACATCTCACATTCCTCCTGTCATCCAAGCTGTTTAAAGACAGATGAAAAGGTAGGTCTGCAGCTGATAATGAGACCTGCCACTGTCATTCCTCTCCTCTGCCTGCGAAGACACTTTCACTTGTCTTTCTCATAATTACCAACAGAGGCAGACAGTGAGGTAGAGACAACAGCAGACAAAGAGACAGCCGAGGAGAAGCAGTGTGTCAGCATTGATCCTGTGCAAACTACACAAGTGAGCTAAGAAATATAAATACACCTTGACACCAAATGCATCATAATGTTTTGTTTGGAACTTAGCACCACTTATAACTACTTATGCAGGTGGCTACAAATGGGCATTTAGGGACTATCAACTTTGCTCATATTGTCTGAGGTCAGGAAAGAGCCGGCAAGAGAGAGAAGCTATGACATAACTTAGTTTCAGTTTTGTTTCAGTTATGCTGACTCAAGGCTTAAAGTTAATAACCTGAAGTCTGGAGCATCAGCCTGATGATACTTGCTAAATCTTCACGTCTTAGCAAGCAGCTGTAAGTCACCAAATGCTCAATTAGACGCAAGCTGATACAGTGAGGGTGCCGTTGGGGTGGGTGGGGTGGGTGGGGTGTAGGGGCAGCAGGTTGTTGCTGACTGATGTGCATTTCGGAGCGTCTCTTTGTAGAAGACGCGGCCGACGGAGGCAGAAGCCTGACCGCTGTGCCCCGTCTGGCTTTGACGCCCTCATCAGACACAAAGGGCAAAAAGAAAAAAGAAAAAAAAAAAAACAGGGCCAGAGGTGCATGTGTGTGTCTATGTGTGTACTGATAATTAAGCAAGTGGTCTGCTCTGTATTCCTTCTGCATCTGTGTTTTGTTTCAGACTGTCATAACACTGGGTCCCGACATTGTGGAAGAGTTCATTTCAATGACATGTTCAATGACAAAGACTTGCCTTTCTCTTTATGGAAAAGTAAAGCAGCTGAGTGAGTTAGAGCCAACACTATATTCTAAAACATGTACCCAGTTAGAGAACACATGAACTCAGTTTCAGAATTTACTCTGCTGAGTCTGTGAATTGTGTTTGTTTGTGGTGACCTTTAAAGGGGCTATTTATGAGTTTTCTCTGCTACTGAATGTGGTTTCTTGCAGGGAGGGGGTGGTGGTGACTGTCGCTTGACAAGAGCTTTAGCCATCAACGTCTTTATAATACAAGAGGTTATAATAGCAGCCCTCTGAGCAGCACTTCACAGGATCTTTTAATTTGTTTGTTATTCATTTGGATTTGCTTTGTGTCCAACTGGTGAATGTGAGTCTGTTTAGCTTTGCTTTGGACGCCACAAACCCGAGAAAATCTGGCTTTTTTTGCTGCTAGACTTGTCTGTCTGCTGTTTGATGCTGGGCTCATACAGAATGAAAACAGCTGCCTGCTGCTACTGGAAACATTGAGGACACCGAACCATACAGTAAATGGGATGTAAAATCAAAACGATGAGCTAAAAGAAGCTAGAAAGCCCAATAGAGCTGCAGAGTTGTTAAAAACTTATCACTACTAGAAACTCCTTTTATATTACTTTATTCCAACTATTAAGAATATTTATTAGAGGAGCTTGGAGGAAATGGTGGTGGACATGAGGAGGACTGGGGCTCCGGTGAACCGTTTCTATCCGTGGGGTCAGTGTGGACATTGACACTGACGCCCTCTACAGGACGAGGCCAGAGCAGTCTCTTTTTTCTGAGATGGCTGAGGTCCTTCAACGTCTGCCGGACGATGCTGAGGATGTATTATGAGTCTGTAGTGGCCAGCGCCATCCTCTATGCTGTTGTGTGCAGCAGACTGAGGGTGAACAGACTTGATAAACTCATCCACAAGGCCTTGCAGCCACGTTGTGGACGGGGAGCTAGAATCCCTGACAGCAGTGTCAGAGAGGAGAATGTTGTACAAGATAAGGACAACACTGGAAAACTCTTAACACCCTCTCCACGACGTGCATGACGTGTGCGACGTGCACAACGTGCTGACCAGCAGCAGTAGCAAGTTCAGCCAGAGACTCATTCCCCCACGTTGCACCACAGGAAATCATTCCTGCGCGTGGCCATCAATCTGTTCAACTCTTCCCTCTGAGAACTGATCAGTCAATTGAATGATCCCTGGACAGTTTTTTCCACCCATGTGCAATTACCATTTTGTTGCAATAATCCAATTACAATTCTGTACATGATTCAATCAATCAATAATACAAATTAACTGTAACTGTAAATGGCATGTAAATATCAACTATACTGTTTATTACTGACAGGGTATATTTTTATTTTTTATATTTTGAATATGGGTATTTTTATTTTTATTATTATTTTTATTATATTTTGTATATGTGGAACGGAGCACTACAATATAATTTCCTGCAGGGGATTAATAAAGTTTTTCTGATTCTGATTAAAAGCCATCAGTTGAACACTGAGAACTGATTACACACAGTTTTAACTCCCTGAACAGGCTGAAATTTAAACTGCCAGCTGTTGCAGCGACATAGGGCAAAGATACAGTTTGACGGGTCAGCCTGTGACAGTTCATGCAGCAACATAAAGGTCATTTTGTTGCTAATTAAAACATTTAACAGGACAGCTACTTTTTTCTAGGAGATTTTCTTCAGGGCTTAACTATAAAGCTGCATTATAGAATTTCACATTTTCCCTGAAATACGAGGTGGAAGAGTAATTTGTTCTCTTTTTTTAACTTGCACAAATCTATTCTCAGTAATCTGAATCATTCCTCAGTCTCCCCATGGCTTAGGTGGAGTTTATATACTGTGTGATGAGGAACTTGGCAGGCAGCTCAGTTACGTATGCACACTGCTTAAAACCCAGGATATGATCACACCGAGCCCAACTGAGCAGGGCTGTGATCACACTTGGTTTCAAAAACTTCACACACACTTTAATGTTTTGATCAAACATATGAAATTCAACAGTTTGTGAAAATTGTCTAGTGCCAAGTATAGATGAGCCTGTCAGGAGTAATTACAGACCTTTGTGGAGGGTTATTTAATGGGTGTTAAGTAGAGTTGGTATGAATGAAGCTCTTACAAGGAGCGTAGAACATGACCAGAGCATGTTTTTTCTTCTTCAGGGCCTCTCGGAAATCCTCTGATCCAAGATGGCTGACGCTGGAGGGCTTGTCTTCCCAAGACTGCTCAGGTGGAGGAGGTGCCTGGGGACTAGAGACATGAAACAGAGCAAAGTAATATTTATTATGTGTACAAAAAGGAGTGAAAAACACTGCTTTACATTTATTGTGCACAAAGATACTGAGTAGGCATCTACAGTATGCTCGTTTGCAAGAAAGAAAAATGGTCACATGTGAATACTAGTGATATAATAATACTCAATGAATGAAGCTTTACGTCAGCCATATATAAAACAGTGTTGACCTCTGGTTGCAGACTTCGTCTTTATGAAGCCTGTAATTGCCACAGCTGGACTGATGTCATTGCAAATCCATTACTTTTCACACGGACCTTTTCCAAAGATGAATCTATTACACTGCGAGGATGTTATGTAAAAAATGTTGCAGCTAATCAAGGACAAAGAAGAGTCCAGCTCTAATGTTTAAGCTCAGGACTAAATGAATAAAATGCATACGAGTTTGAATCTGTTTTTAAATGTGTCAACCCTGCATGGGCAGTGTTTGTTGGAAATTGTGTGACTCACTTGTGCATGAACTCGATGATCTTGTCTTTGCTTCGGAGCTGCGGCAGCGTGTACTTCTCCTCACCTTTCTCAAAATACTTCACAGTTGGGAAGCCAGAGATCTTGAAGCGATCCCCCACAGCTTTGTGCACTGTGGCATCCACTGCTGCCAACACGCCCGGACTCTGTGAAGTGATAACAACAGCAACGCTTAAATCATGTGGGACTTTGGTAAAATAATAACTATAGAGAGATCTGTCCAATTAGACCAATAAAGGTTCATTAGACTTACCCTTTACATGACACCAATTAACACCACCTACTTTAGAAACAGTCCATGTTCAACCTTTGCAAATGAGCACACTGGGCTTTTTGTGTATTTAAAAATGCTGCATTAATAAACACTAGCAGGGAACCAAAGAGGAGAAAAATAAATGATATTCTGGGCCTTAAGGGCTTAGGGTGAGAGAGGCTCCAGTCAATCCATATTAGATAATGGTCAGGCTTCTCCTGTTGACCTCCAGTACTGGGCAGAGAGCCACAAGAAGAAGGTCTAAGCGTCGGGCCGGGGGGACTCTCATGGATGAGATAATTGCTACAGTCACTAGGCTGGAGTTTTATTGGCCCTGCCCCTGGCTGGGGAGTGTTAGATTACCACAGAGGACATAATGGTGGAGAGGAGAGGTGAGGAACACACCCGACTAATCAGAAACACATCGAGAACTGGGCCGTTGGACAGACTGACCAGCGTGTCAGTTGCGTCGGCCAACAGCCTTCAAGCCAAGGGGATTATTATGATCTGTTAATGAGGCGCTGCTACACCGTGCAGTCCTGCATGTTCATCGGAGTGTGAAATATGAAACGTGAACAAAACACAGACGTGTAGACGTGCATGCTGTGCACACCAAAACACAAGCAAAGGTCATGAAACTTACATCTGCGCCCTTGTTAAGTATTTCAGCAGCTTCATCATACTCTGGCTTCATCTTCTTGCAGTGGCCACACCCTAAAAGATTCAGATTACACATTAGAGTCGGACCTGACGGATTTCTGAGGCTGATATCAGTGTTGCTATTCGAGAGTCAAAAAAACTGATAACAAAGTATCTGCCAATTTTTTTTTTTTTACCTCTTATTAAGAACATTTTGGTAATAATCTCTTGAAACTTGTTATTTATCACTTTAAATGGCAAATTTAATTAATTATACATAAAAACTAAAATTAAAAATAAAACAAAATGTCAAGAAAAATACATCCTACAGTATAAAACATTTATGTCCTGCAATCTTCATTCACACACGGGCCAATATGAGCCAATAATAACAGCCTACTATCAAAAACAGTCAAATTAGTGAGAGTAACTAAGACAGGAATCTCCTTTCAACCATAATGGACATGTAAACAAGAAATATATAAAATACTATTTGTTCCTGAAGGAAAGATTTCCATAAACCCAAGGCTGAGAGCTATCCTCGAATCTTGCAATCTTTGCACAACATTACATCCACAG